AATTCCTCCCTATATCATGGATATATTTAAGTACTGTCAACAAGTGCTATATTGCTTAACCTCTAAACTATAATTCCACTTCCCTATATCATGGATATATTTAAGTACTGTCAACAAGTGCTATATTGCTTAGCCTCTAAACTATAATTCCTTTCTATATCATGGATATATTTAAGTACTGTCAACAAATGATTTGCTTAGCCTCTAAACTTTAATTCCTCCCTATTTCATAGATAAATTTAAGTACTGTCAACAAATGCTATATTGCTTAACCTCTAAACTATAATTCCGCCCTATATCATGGATATATTTAAGTACTGTCAACAAATGCTATATTGCTTAACCTCTAAACTATAATTCCTCCCTATATCATGGATATATTTAAGTACTGTCAACAAATGATTTGCTTAGCCTCTAAACTATAATTCCTGCCTATATCATGGATATATTTAAGTACTGTCAACAAATGCTATATTGCTTAACCTCTAAACTATAATTCCTCCCTATATCATGGATATATTTAAGTACTGTCAACAAGTGCTATATTGCTTAGCCTCTAAACTATAATTCCTCCCTATATCATGGATATATTTAAGTACTGTCAACAAATGATTTGCTTAGCCTCTAAACTATAATTCCTCCCTATATCATGGATATATTTAAGTACTGTCAACAAATGCTATATTGCTTAACCTCTAAACTTTAATTCCTCCCTATATCATGGATATATTTAAGTACTGTCAACAAATGATTTGCTTAGCCTCTAAACTTTAATTCCTCCCTATATCATGGATATATTTAAGTACTGTCAACAAATGCTATATTGCTTAACCTCTAAACTATAATTCCTTTCTATATCATGGATATATTTAAGTACTGTCAACAAATGATTTGCTTAGCCTCTAAACTTTAATTCCTCCCTATATCATGGATATATTTAAGTACTGTCAACAAATGCTATATTGCTTAACCTCTAAACTTTAATTCCTCCCTATATCATGGATATATTTAAGTACTGTCAACAAATGATTTGCTTAGCCTCTAAACTATAATTCCTCCCTATATCATGGATATATTTAAGTACTGTCAACAAATGATTTGCTTAGCCTCTAAACTATAATTCCTCCCTATATCATGGATATATTTAAGTACTGTCAACAAATGATTTGTTTAGCCTCTAAACTATAATTCCGCCCTATATCATGGATATATTTAAGTACTGTCAACAAATGATTTGTTTAGCCTCTAAACTATAATTCCTCCCTATATCATGGATATATTTAAGTACTGTCAACAAATGCTATATTGCTTAACCTCTAAACTATAATTCCTCCCTATATCATGGATATATTTAAGTACTGTCAACAAATGCTATATTGCTTAACCTCTAAACTATAATTCCTTTCTATATCATGGATATATTTAAGTACTGTCAACAAATGATTTGCTTAGCCTCTAAACTTTAATTCCTCCCTATATCATGGATATATTTAAGTACTGTCAACAAATGCTATATTGCTTAACCTCTAAACTATAATTCCTCCCTATATCATGGATATATTTAAGTACTGTCAACAAATGATTTGCTTAGCCTCTAAACTTTAATTCCTCCCTATATCATGGATATATTTAAGTACTGTCAACAAATGCTATATTGCTTAACCTCTAAACTATAATTCCTTTCTATATCATGGATATATTTAAGTACTGTCAACAAGTGCTATATTGCTTAGCCTCTAAACTATAATTCCTCCCTATATCATGGATATATTTAAGTACTGTCAACAAATGATTTGCTTAGCCTCTAAACTTTAATTCCTCCCTATATCATGGATATATTTAAGTACTGTCAACAAATGATTTGTTTAGCCTCTAAACTATAATTCCTCCCTATATCATGGATATATTTAAGTACTGTCAACAAATGCTATATTGCTTAACCTCTAAACTATAATTCCTCCCTATATCATGGATATATTTAAGTACTGTCAACAAATGATTTGTTTAGCCTCTAAACTATAATTCCTCCTTATATCATGGATATATTTAAGTACTGTCAACAAATGCTATATTGCTTAACCTCTAAACTATAATTCCTTTCTATATCATGGATATATTTAAGTAGTGTCAACAAATGCTTTGCCCACTCTATAAACTTTTATTTCTGTCCCATTTCATTCATAAATTTAAGTACCATCAACAATCTCTTTGCCTTCTTCATACACACGTAACTGAGTAACATTATTCAGGGCTGTCAAGGCTCATGACCCCAGAATGATTTTCATTTGCTTCCTCTTCCAAATCAACGCTTTCAGATTCTGCTCAAAATTATTGAAATTCATCCATGTGGTTGGATGTTTCAGCATGATTATCTCAAAAAGTTCGTCCTGATGCACAGTTTCAGGTTTCTGCTGAAGAAGGCCTACTCCCAGTGCTGAAATATTCTAAGATTATCAGAGAAAACTTTATAACAAGCCGTGTCTGTTGATTGTCACATTTGGAGGCCGTTTCTGCCAATGTGGATCCGATTCAGCCAAGTGTTAAACAGACGCTGTTCAAGTATGGTAGATAGAGGTCGAAGCAGTTGCTTCTGCTGACATTTTCCCATGCATTCCCTCTACATTTAGACCTGCTGCTATGACGGCTGTCAGTGGGCTGACTATTCAGTTTCAATAATGGCGGGTGGTATATTGAAATCCTTTGCATCAACTTGATAGATATCTCTGCTATGAATAGAAATAAATTATTTGGCTTGTATGGTGATATCATACACTGACATAGTTCTCTAATCAATGGGGCAGTGGGTAGCCTAATGGTTAAAGTGTACGCTCATCACGCCAAAGACCTGGGTTCGATTCCGAACATGGGTACAATGTGTGACGTCCATTTCTGGTGTCTCCTGCCATGATATTGCTGGAATATTGCTAAAAGTGGCGTAAAACTAAACTCACTCACTCACTCACTCTACACACTAATTTTCATTTGAGACACTCTATGGTCATGCTAAGGCCACACAAATTTTATGTGTTCTTTTAAATGAAATATTCTTGGTTCTGTGACTTTTGTTTCAAAACATTAATTATATTCAGAGATACTTTTATTGTTTGAGTGGCAAACTGTATACTTCTATGAATCATCTAGGTTAATTTGTACTTGATTGCCTCTGTGGTGTAGTGGACAAAGTGTTTGCCTAGAGAGTGGAGGTTGGTGGTTGGATCCCTGGCTCGTTGTATTAGCTGACATTGGCGTTACTAAAACACATCTCGACTTGAGAAGATCTGAGTTAGAATTGGTCTTCAGCAACCCATGCTTGTCATAAGAGGTGACTAATGGGATCAGGTTGTCAGGCTTGCTTACTTGGTCGACACATGTCTGTGTATATCAACAGAGTAGATCGATGCTCATGCTGTTGATCACTGGATTGTCTGGTCCAAACTCGATCACCCGTGAAGGTCATGTTAGAATGAATCTTCAGAAACCCATGCTTGTCGTAAGAGGTGACTAACGGGATTGGGTGGTCAGGCTCGCGACTTGGTTGACACATGTCATCGGTTCCCAAGTGCGCAGATCAATGCTCATGCTGTTGATCACTGGATTGTCTGGTCCAGACTCAATTATTTTCAGACCGCTGCCATATAGCTGGATTATTGCTGAGTGCGGTGTTTAACAACAACTAACCAACCTGCCAATACTTATACACATACTATGGTGGTCGTAGTGTTGAAGTCAATTTGTTGAATGAGGCCCTGTGCTACAATGAGAGTTTCAGATTGGGGTAGTATCACCCATCATTCCTCAGGAGGTGTTTATTGGAGCTAAGTACATGTGCTGAATTATTTTAATCACAAACTGCCCAAATAAATTGCCAAGACCCTGTAGATCATTTGGAGAAGCACCATTAGGAGAGAAAACTAATTTAACCCATAGATCTGGTTCCTGAAAGTAATCTTACCGTTTATTGACTGTTGTATGTACATGTGTCACTGTTGGATCCATGGTCAAAAGTTCTTGGAGCAGCATATATTGTGGTGGTTTTGTCACATTGCTGCTAGTACTCATTGGTCAATAGAGAACTTGTGCAAAGGATTTGATTGGTTGAAAGAGAATACTCAGATTGTGACAAATTTAAGTTCATTTTCTTTACACTGTTGCAGGTGTTTGCGAGTAAGGATGAAAAAAACCCACAAATTAGTGTTCCTGTTTCCAAAATATGTTATCCTAATGCATTTTAAATATTGTTATTATTCTTATACACTACACCTATAGAAGTACCTGCTCAAGTGCAGTTTATTTGTAGTGAATCCAGTTCCCATACTCAACCCCTTGGAAAGCCTGGGGGGTTGGGTTGGGGGTTGGGATTGGGGTTGGCGTGTTTAGTGGTGGTGTGTGGTCCTGTGTGTAGAGCTCCGGTCTCAAATCAGTTGAAGTTAAGCAAAGTTGGGTGTGGACAGTCCTTGGATGGGTTTACCGTGTTTGACAGCTTGACTCCTGAAAGTTTCTAGTACTTCAGACCTGCCCCACCAAGAAGCACATGTGATACATGTGGTCTCACCTTAGGCAAGTGAGTTTGTTCAAAATTGCCTCTGTTCACCCAGCAGAAAATGGGTACCCGGTGGGATAAGTCATGTGACTATTAACCGTCTTGTGCCTCACAGGCAGCTTGGGTTATCCGGGGTAATAATAATCAGCGCTTTGAGCATTTCTGCGCTTGTAGCAAACACAACGGATGGAAAATAGCGCATAACAAATGCACTTACTCAATTATTATAAAAATCGATCAACTTTTTCCACAAAAAGTACAAATGTTTGTTTTGCCCTTTGTTGTTATACCAAAAAAAAGGCTGGTCAAAAAGTGAGGCTTCTCCCGCTCCTTATATGTATAGGAGAAAACACGACCCCTTGGTTTTGGTAGAGAATGTAAAACTTTGGGAGGAGGGAAATCTCGAGGGTCTGTTTCTATCCGTGTATGGTTGATCTGATGTGAGTTGTCTGTTTCACAGGGGAGCAAGGAAAACCGGTTACTATCAACAAAGACAACCTGGCTCCCGCAGAAAGGAAGAAGTATGACGACGGCTGGCAGAAAAATGCCTACAACCAGTATGCCAGCGACATGATCTCACTCCATAGAAGTCTGCCGGACGTCCGAGACAAAGAGTAAGTCTAGGTCTGGGAAGTCCACTACTGTGGAGGAGGCTCTATGTGATTCTTTTCAGTAAAGGCGGTGGGGTAGCCTTGTGGTTAAAGTGTTCACTCATCATGCGAAAGGTCTGGGTTTGATTCCCCACATGGGTACAATGTGTGAAGGCCATTTCTGGTGTCACCCGCTGTGATATTGCTGGCATATTGATAAAAGTGTCATAAAACCATACTCGCTCACTAACCCACCACTGTGGGATTCTAGTGGTTGTCCCACGGAGTATATACCCACATCACCTAATTGTCCTGCCTAACCTTCTCACACATCACAACCGGTACTGCTGGTTAAACGGGATCAAGTTTTGGATGGTCCAAGTCAGTGATTTGGTTAATGGCGTCTCTTCATTCTATGACAACATTGAGTGTCATTCATAATATCAATCCCAGGATTGTCTGGTCCAGTTTTCATTATTTACATACTGCTTTCATATAGCTGAATTAGGTTAGGAGCAGTTTTAAATTACAAATTACATACATCGTCCTGAAGTAGATCTGGATTTTTGAAGTCACAGACAGGGAGCAAGTCTTGATCATACTAGTCTTTGAGGAGGAGATCTGTTAGTTTTGTCGGTCACTATGATGCCAATGTGATGTGGTATGTGTAACTGCAGTCAGCCTGCCTAAATGTGAAGTTCTTCATAATCTTGTGTACATGGATTGAGATGTGACGGATTACACTGAAAAATTGCTGATGACATGCTGCAGCAACAGCTCATGGAGGTTCGTGTTTACAGTTGGAAAGTTAACCTCTCACAGACTAGAATTTGAGATTTTCTACACATTTCAGCCTCACCAGCATGATGTTGGATTTCAAGTTACGACTTTGTTTGGCTTACAGGCACAATATTGTTGTGTTGAAAACATGGCTTATCACCCAAACCTGGAAAGCTTCTATGGCCATGTAGTTCAGTCAGTGATTCATCCATACATCTACTCACGTTCTCTGTCCCTCATTCATTATTCTCACTGGTTACCCACCCACCCATATACCCAATCACTCTCTCTCACTCACTCACTGTCACCCAATTCACTCACTCACTCACACCCAATTCACTCACTCACTCTCACCCAATTCATTCACTCACTCACCAGGGGCGGATCCAGATGGGGGCGGTGGGGTTGTATACCCTCCTCTCCCCTGAGAAAAAAATTCCCTGAGGAACATTTCCCCCTTACCTTTGGACTTCATATTTATGTGCCACCCTCCTTCTCCAAAACCCTGGATCCATCCCTGCTCACTCTCTCACTCCCACCCAGTTCATTCAAACTCACCACCCAATTCACTTACTCTCACCCACTCACTCACTCACCCATCCACTTACTCACTCTTACCAATCCATTCACTCACTTACTCATCCAATCAAATTAAGTATTTTTCAATTGAAGAAGATTAAATTTAGACGTTCCAGAATATTCATTCATCAATTTAAATGCAACATAATTTTATCAGAGTTTCCGCAGAATGGTCACGTGACCATGACGCGGCCCAACCCCAACCACGCCGCCCCGACGGTGAGCGACAAGTCTGTCTGTATTGTCCTCTAGGCACTCCATCCTTCATTATCATCCAACGAGACACTTGGGATTCTCAGCCGATAAATAGACTAGGAGATATTTCACCAGACAAACTGAGACGAGATTACATAGGCAGGAACCTCCCTAGAGAAAAAAATCACAAAATCAATTAGTCACATCAATGGAAAATTTAAACTTTATTATGTCTGTGTTTGTTGCAAAAAGCAGTCAGCGTTTTTTGGCTCACTCAATCCCAGACAGTTAAAAAGCAGTTGAACAAAATACACGCTGAACACCAACCACTGAATTTTATACTAGTGAGGGTTGTATATATCTGAACTTAAGTATTTTGCTTTTAAAGGAATAGTTTCTGAGGAGAAGAAAGAGCAAAGTTTTAAAATATAAGCTTTTGAAACATTTCACGAATTGCAAGTAAAATCAATAGGTTGTGTTTTCGTCCAGGGTCTCTAAGTAGAACCGACTATGGACTCGTAGAATTTTCGGCCTTGTGATTGTTTGACATACGAGCTCGTGTCAACAAGGGCTTAAAATCCTGTTAAAAATTTGGAGAAATGTTTAAACTATCTTGTTAATTTTGTGCTTGCCAAACGTTTTGTTGTGCAATTGCCTTATTTGTTCTGAATCATTCCAGGTTCTATTGAAAAGAATTGCACAAAAAATACTCTGTTCTAAAAAACAAAGCAATTGACAAAGGGTGGTGTTTTCAAACGTTACATTTGTTGAAGATCTTGCTGAGTGTGTCATGATGTAACTATTGAGATGTGGATGATATATCGTACTGTAACATGTATGATATATCGTTACCTGTAAAATGTATGATATATAGTTACCTGTAACATGCATGATATATTGCTATATGTAACATGTATGATATATAGTTACCTGTAACATGTATGATATATCATTACCTGTAACATGTATGATATATCATTACCTGTAACATGCATGATATATCACTGACTGTAACATGCATGATATATCACTGACTGTATGATAGTTTCTACATTACTAGGATATAACTAGTATATACCTGACAATGATATAACTTGTATATTGTGGACTGTGATATAGTTACAGTTATATTATTGACTGTCCTGTGGCTGCTATGCTACTGTATGGCTAGTATATATATGTATAATTGTTATGGGTATATTACTGGCCATGATATTAATGGTACATTGCTGACTATGATATAAAGGGTAGATTGCTGACTATGATGTAAATGTTAGATTGCTGACTATGATATAAATGGTAGATTGCTGACTATGATATAAAGGGTAAATTGCTGGTTATACTGATATATATATGGTAGATTGCTGACTATGATGTAGTGGTAGATTGCTGACTGTGATATATTGGGTAGATTGCTGACTATGATATAAAGGGTAAATTGCTGGTTATACTGATATATATATGGTAGATTGCTGACTATGATGTAAATGGTAGATTGCTGACTGTGATATATATGGTAGATTGCTGACTATGATATAAAGGGTAAATTGCTGGTTATAATTATATATAGGGTAGATTGCTTACTATGATGTAAATGGTAGATTGCTGACTATGGGTGGAATGTGTGAAGCCCATTTCTTGTGTCAGCCACTGTGATATTGCTGGAATATTGCTAAAAGTGGCGTGAAACTAAACTAACTCACAATATATCTGACGTTTAGACTCTAAGTCCGTTGAGTTGTGTCCTGCACTAAGAGCTGTTTCCTCCTGTACTTTTAGAAACTTATTTTAAAAATACAGATAATACTTGTCCAATGTTTTAACTTAGCTCTCTTTATTTGTTCAAAATCCAAGTCAGATTTTCATGTATTCCTTGAAACTTGTTAAATATTTTAATCTCATGTTAAGAATCTTTGTTGCTTTACCGAATATTTGTTATTTGCATAAAGCGAAGAATAAACTTGCGAGTATTTACACTTAATGTTCAGCTCAAACATAGCTCTTAAAATTTATTATCTTATGATGAAATTTAGCCTCTATGTAAATAGGCACAACTACTGGTCAGATTGATGATGTCAAAAACATGCTTTAGATAAATACAGACGTCGTTGAATAATATTTAATCATTTAGGATTTAATCTTATATGATTCATTTTTAGGACTAGGCTATTTTTAGAGTTAGCAATCATCTAAATGAATCAAGTTTGTAAAGTGTAGGTCATAGCTGAGATATGTATCATAAAGACAAAAGTTGGACGTTCAAGTGTGTATCTGTTTTGGTTTCCTTGCTTTCTCTACAGAGAAGAATAGTCCCCCTCTATAAGTTATTACTCTTCATTTCTGAAAACGCATCTGTTCATCATTTCCATTGAAGATTTTTTACTGTGATTATGCCCTTCAATCATGCATTGAACATGGAATATGCTCACTATAAAATGATGATGATGATCACCATCATCATCATCATCATCATCATCACCACCACCACCACCACCATCATCATCATCATCATCATCATCACCATCATCACCACCACCATCATCATCATCATCATCATCATCATCATCACCATCATCACCACCATCACCATCATCATCATCATCATCACCATCATCACCACCACCACCATCATCATCATCATCATCATCATCATCACCACCACCACCACCATCATCATCATCATCATCATCATCACCACCACCACCACCATCATCATCATCATCATCATCATCACCACCATCATCATCATCATCATCATCATCATCATCATCATCATCATCATCATCACCTTCATCATCATCATCATCACCACCATCACCACCACCACCACCACCACCATCATCATCATCATCATTGCTGCCACTTTCAGCAATATTCCAGCAATATCACAGCAGGGGACACCAGAAATGTGCTTCACACATTGTACCCATGTGGGGAATCAAACCCTGGTCTTAGTCATGATGAGCGAATACTTTAGCCACTAGGCTACCCCATTACTCCTTATAGAGTAATGCTCAATGAAAAATTATGAATGATAATTGTCGTCGTCATCATCATCATCATCATCATCATCATCATCATAATCATCATCCACATCTTAAATACCTTATGTGTATGCTATATAGCTGGAATATTGCTGAGTGCAGGGTAACACTAAACTCATTCACTCACCTTGTGTGTGGGCCAACTCTGTGACTTTGTCATTGCACACATACATTGCCCACAGCATCAATCAATGGATTGTCTCGAGTATCTTCCAACATCATATACCTGGAATACTGCAGAGACAATGGATTGTCTCGAGTATCTTCCAACATCATATACCTGGAATACTGCAGAAACAATGTATTTACACTGATGTTCAAGAATTTGTGATAATCAGCATGTTGATGAAAGTAGTCAAACTAACTTGTGATGCATTCAAGTAGTCTTTTTGACCATGTCATACATTCATGCCCCATGACCAGGAATATCCATTATCAACAGACACGTGAAGATCCGGGTTAGAATTGATCTTCAGTAGCCCATGCTTGTCGTAAGAGATGACTAATGCGACTTGGTTGACACATGTCACAGTATCCCAATTGCATAGATCAATGCTCATGCTGTTGATCACTGGATTGTCTGGTCCAGACATTATTATTTACAGACCGACGCCATATAGCTGGAATATTGCTGAGTGCGGTGTGAAACTAAACTCACTCACACACTCCAAAATCAACAGCCCATGAGTCATAATAATCCAAAACAGAGTATATCCACCAGCTTTCAACTTTCTGTCACATATACAGACCAATGTCAGCTTTATGCATTTAAGTGTTGTTCTTCCATGGTGAAAGTCACTCATTTACAAGAAATTTGGCTAATGTATGTTCAAAAAGAGCTGGAACACGACATTGTCTTGTCTCCCAGTTTGAGTTTATCCTGATATATCACATTACAAGCAACGCTTTGATTTCCATTAGCGGTTATCATACATAAAGCAAAGGTGCAATTTCACTGGAATTACGGACATTTCTAAATCTCTTTGGCTGTCTTTTTCATGACAAAGCTCCATTTGTCAAAATTATTGCTGATTCAAGGATGTTTGATGTCATAATTTGTCTATAGATGAAAAGTCAGCCATCCCAAAAGTGCTTTAAGAACTTCAAAGGAGTTTCATGCAAATTCCCGACTATACCAATCAATTTATATTCATTAGAAAATGGACAAAAGCACCTAGAGCAGACTTGATAGGAAGGGTGTTGGAGTTGAAATCAGGGCATCAATTTAGAACAGAAATGATCATTTCCTACGGGAAATTTCATGCTCAGCTGTCGTATAAATAATTCATGATTTCTTCAAAAATGGAAAAGCATCCCCAATGTGAATACCTTTGGATAGACTTCGATGAACTTCAGAACGAGTTTCTTCATCTTCGACCTTTGTCTGGCCTTACTGTCCCACTGCTTTTGGGATTTAATTGATTAGTATTGATTTAAAAAATACATTTGGTAGGGTTGACGACAGATTTGTCCCAAGTCCTGAAGTTTTTAAGACTTGTTGTAGACACTGACTGAAATGAACCCCCCCAAACTTTGACTGAAAAATACATGCTATTGATGACGTGAAATTCATACAGAACAGATAGGATGACCCAGGCCCAGCGGAGAGGGTCAGATAAGATAGGGTCAGGTTGGGGGAGGTTTGAATCTGTTTGGATCTGTTCGTAGTTTGGATCTATCAGATTCTATGGCAGTAGTCATCATGACAGTTTCTTGTGAAAATGTAATTCCAGTGAAACCAGAAAGTTTCCAAATCTTGCAATATTCAAAGAACACCTGAAAACTCTTATGGATATATACTCTTCAAAAAAAGTAGGGGAACTTGAACTTTCAATTTGGATAGGAAGTATAAGCCTTAACAAACTTTTCAAAAACAGACATCTTATGAGCTCACCACCATTTTCTTTATCACCACCCCTACACACAACACATGGGATGTATGTGCAGGATGCAGTAGCCCCATACAGGTGCATGGGGTGTCATTCTTGATTTTGAAGGTTTTCAAGAAGGTCGATGAATCACTGTAGATCATTAATTTTTACAATCATCTTGCATCCCACAGTGGTTAGTGTTGGTTTCTAGCCAATTTTTTTGCTTGTTTGAAAATAAAAATCATACACATGCAAATTTAGCGTTGTACACCAATCATCTTTCAAGAGCAATTACTGTACAAACATCTATGGTCATAAGGAAGTGCAAGTGGTGGTGCACTCTCAAAACATTTATCATTATCATATCAACATTGACTGACTCGGATAACTCTATTTATTTATTTTTCAATCGTAGTTGTTGTCATCACCAACATCATCATCATCACCATCATCATCATCATCATCATCTTACTAGTGATACTGCAGTCCTTTAGACTTTTAGAATCATTTGGTTGAAAGGACTTTATCACATCAAATCATTTGTGATGTCAGTGACGACTAAGGTTAAGCTCACCTGGGGCAAAGGTGATTTAGAGCTTTAGTCATTTCATGCTGTCCAGCACTGGCTTGCCTTCATTAACTTTTCCGATTTACAACATCATGGCGTTAGTGCTTCAGTCTGAGCAATGAGGCAGAAACATGGCCAGGAAGGTCAAGGTCATCAGTTCTTTGGCGCAAGTACATGGCGTCAGACCAAATGCCTTAGTCACTTAGTAAAATGAGTCCTAGATTATATTTTGACCCTTATGAATACCGTAGATATAAACAAATTAGTAAACATTGCATTAGAGCAAACGTTACTTCACTCCCATCAGAGTATTGTGGTAGTCTTCTGGATTGAATGCATCCTGTTAACATCATTCAAGTCATAATGTGAAGTAAGGTCGGAATGACGTCATACACATAGAAGTGACATTATAGCTGGTGAGACCTGTGAAGATCCAGGTTAGAATTGATCTTCAGTAGCCCATGCTTGTCGTAAGAGGCGACTAACAGGATCGGATGGTCAGACTCGCTGACTTGGTTGATGCTCATCACTGGATTGTCTGGTTCACACTTGATTATTTACAGACTACCGCCATATAGCTGGAATATTGTTGAGTGTGGCCTAAAACTCAACAACTCACTCACTCACTCATTATAGCTGATGATTGTTGACATCATTCAACTTTTTTGTTTTTTTACAGCCGTTGTGATCTGAGATTTTTCTCTGAAGAGGAGCTCAAAATGATTAAAAGATAATTAGTGATAAAAAAATAATTACTCTTACTTGTGTTTCATACCAAACTTGAGTCTCGCCTAAGACTTTGTAATAACCCTTCCTCTCCCTCCGAAACTTCCACATGAAATCAGGATGACACACATGCTCATATGTTAATTTCTGTTCAGTAAGATGTATGAGACATGCTGTTGTTTATACTAAAACATACAATGTGATTATGTAAAACATTCCAGCATTAAGGGCACAGAAGATTCCTATCCACTCACTCCCCCCCACTCCCCCACTCATTAACTCACTCATTCACTCCCCCACTTCCTCACTCTCCCACTCACCCCCAGTCTCATCCCTCACTCCCTCCTCCACTTACTCTCTCCCCCACTCATTCACTCATCCTCTCTCCCACGTACTCTTCCACTCCTCCAATCTCCCACTTACTCAACCAACCCCAACCCCCATTCAACCCCCGTCATTCACTCAACCCCTAACTCCCCCGCTCACTCACTCACTCCTCCACTTCCCCACCCACTCACTCACTCAAATGAGTTTTTTTTCAGTTGAACAAAAATATATTATGGTGTTCAAAACTGTTGCTCATCACTCACTCACTTGTTTTCAGATGTAAAGACCTAACATACCGAGAAAATCTTCCTGACTCCAGCGTCGTAATCTGCTTCCACAATGAGGCATGGACGGTGCTACTGAGGACAGTTCACTCAGTAATAGACCGGTCTCCAGCACATCTACTGAAGGAAATAGTTCTTGTAGACGATTTCTCTGACATGGGTAAGATTTTGGTCTGTCTATAATATGTCTTCATATGGTACCATATATTAAATAAAGAATCTTGAATTTTGAACTAGAAGTATTACTTCTTACACAAATGTAATATGAAATTTGAATATAAAGTAAAAAAACCTAGACATATATTTTCTTAGAGTGCCAACTGTTGAAATACATGTACAATGTAAAATATGTTTAATAATATTTTTACAGCACAAATTTTTGCAATATTTGGCAGTTTCATTTGTAAAATAACTCATAGTCTACACTTTAAACTGTTATTGTTGCTTTTTGTGAAGAATCCCCAGTCCCCAATATTGTCTGACCTGCAGGAATATTGCATAATCAGGAAATACGAGTATTATATTTTTAACATAGCACTAGATGCAGCTGCCATATCAGCTGTTTCGGGCAAGTGGTTAGTGTAATTTGAAACCTCTAATTTAACAGTCAATATTAGGTGTTTTGTAAATTCCTGGTAGTTTGGGATATAAAAGTTCATTTCTGAAAACAATTGGGCTGTGGAGTAGCCTATTTTATTGATTCCCCACATATGTGAAGCCCATTTTTGGTGTTCCCTGCCATGATGTTGCTGGTATATTGCTAAAAGCGGTGTAAAACTATACCCACTCACACCAAAAGCTAGACTAATGCTTAGTCTCTGAATATATGTGATTTTGATAGTAACAAACAAATCCATTTAAATTGAAAAGGAGCCCCAGGGAGACCAGAGATTGTGAATCTAGGGAAATCTAGACTTGCTTCATTTACGTCTTTAGAAGGGAGGGCTAGGAAGTAGGTTGTCTGTCTCACAGTCCCTGAACCACATTATTTTCTCTACAGCCTAGCCCTCCCTGCAATGTAGTCTGTCTCACAGTCCCTGAACCACATTATTTTCTCTACAGCCTAGCCCTCCCTGCATTGTAGTCTGTCTCACAGTCCCTGAACCACATTATTTCCCCTACTGCCTAGCCCTCCCTGCATTGTAGTCTGTCTCACAGTCCCTGAACCACATTATTTTCTCTACAGCCTAGCCCTCCCTGCATGTAGTCTGTCTCACAGTCCCTGAACCACATTATTTTTTTCTACAGCCTAGCCCTCCTCCCCTGCATTGTAGTCTGTCTCACAGTCCCTGAACCACATTATTTTCCCTACAGCCTAGTCCCTCCCTCCCTGCATTGTAGTCTGTCTCACAGTCCCTGAACCACATTATTTTCCCTACTAGCCCTCCCTAGTCTGTCTCCTCTCTGCATTGTAGTCTGTCTCACAGTCCCTGAACCACATTATTTTTCCCTACAGCCTAGCCCTCCCTGCATTGTAGTCTGTCTCACAGTCCCTGAACCACATTATTTTCCCTACAGCCTAGCTTGCCCTCCCTGCATTGTAGTCTGTCTCACAGTCCCTGAATCACATTATTTTCCCTACTGCCTAGCCCTCCCTGCATTGTAGTCTGTCTCACAGTCCCTGAATCACATTATTTTCCCTACTGCCTAGCCCTCCCTGCATTGTAGTCTGTCTCACAGTCCCTGAACCACATTATTTTCCCTACAGCCTAGCCCTCCCTGCATTGTAGTCTGTCTCACAGTCCCTGAACCACATTATTTTCCCTACTGCCTAGTCTGTCTCACAGTCCCTCCTGCATTGTAGTCTGTCTCACAGTCCCTGAACCACATTATTTTCCCTACTGCCTAGCCCTCCCTCCCTGCATTGTAGTCTGTCTCACAGTCCCTGAATCACATTATTTTCCCTACTGCCTAGCCCTCCCTGCATTGTAGTCTGTCTCACAGTCCCTGAACCACATTATTTTCCCTACAGCCTAGCCCTCCCTGCATTGTAGTCTGTCTCACAGTCCCTGAACCACATTATTTTCCCTACCACCTAGCTCCTCCCCCTGCATTGTAGTCTGTCTCACAGTCCCTGAACCACATTATCTTCCCTACTGCCTAGCCCTCCCTGCATTGTAGTCTGTCTCACAGTCCCTGAACCACATTATTTTCCCTACTGCCTAGCCCTCCCTGTAATGTAGTCTGTCTCACAGTCCCTGAACCACATTATTTTCCCTACAGCCTAGCCCTCCCTGCAATGTAGTCTGTCTCACAGTCCCTGAACCACATAATTTTCCCCACTGCCAAGCCCTCTCTGCAGTGCTAAAGCCCTAAATGAAGCAAGTCTAGATTTCCTCAGGTTCTGATTCTCTGGTCTCCCTGGGGGTCCTTTTCAATTTAAATGGGTTTGTTTGTTACTATCAAAATTATATATATTCAGAGACTAAGCCTTACTCTTAAGTAGGGAAAATAATGTGGCTCAGGGCCCGGGACTGTGAGACAGACTATCCAAAAACTTGAAATTGTCTTTTTTGAGTTCAGAATGTCAGAGCCCATCACAGCATGCGTCTTTTATGAGAGCTTCATTCAGTGATAACCTCATCATCTCAAAATCAATTTTCATGAATCAAGTTTCATCCTGTTTAATGGAGATGCGTTTTCAATTTCTCTTTTGCAGACCATCTGAAAACACCTTTAAAAGATTACATGAATAAGTTAAAGATAGTAAAGATAGTTCGGACAAAGGAAAGAGAAGGCTTGATACGAGCTCGTCTTCTTGGATTTGCCGCTGCAACAGGCGATGTTGTGACATTTTTAGATTCACATTGTGAATGTACAGAAGGTAAGATATAATCTTGTATTTAATTTTTATGTAAAATTAAAAGTTTAATCATTACAATTGCTTGCATAAAATTTGATGCTTTGATTTCTAATTTGTTAGTTTGTTCCCAGTAAGGATTATTTTATGTAATGTAAACATAAGTTGAACAGTTAATGTATGCAAATTTAAAGTATTTTAAGTATTCCTTGCAGTGTAACATTGTTCTGGAATCTGTATGTAAAATCTGATTAAGTACATTAAATTGTGTGATTAGGTTGTTTTTGTCACATTGTTACACTGAAAGAAATAATTTTTCATTTTATCAACAGTTCAGCTCTTTATTATAACACATCGAGTACTATGTCAATACTATTTTATTCAAAATTTAATTTCATAATTGAAAAAGATTGAAAAGCAAAACATTCAACTGCTCCGCTATATGGCAGCAGTATGTAAATAATCGAGTCTGGACCAGACAATCCAGTGATCAACAACATGAGCATCAATCTATGCAACTGCGATGCAATGACATGTGTCAACCAAGTCAGCGAGTCTGACCACCAGATCCCGTTAGTCGCCTCTTAGGACAAGCATGGGTTACTGAAAGCTTACTCTGACCTGGATCTTCACCAGTTTACAAATGTGAAATATACCTGGTGCCAATATTGGGGATTGGATATTATGAAGGGTGATGTACCATATGTGTGGTTCTAGCGATTTTGAGGATTATTGCTCATGATGTCAATCACAATCACACATTTGTCTGACCTTGACCTAACCAGCTGCTGTATCACTGGATTATCTGACCTTGACCTAACCAGCTGCTGTATCACTGGATTATCTGACCTTGACCTAACCAGCTGCTGTATCAGTGGATTATCTGATCTTGACCTAACCAGTTGCTGTATCACTGGATTATCTGATCTTGACCTAACCAGTTGCTGTATCACTGGATTATCTGACCTTGACCTAACCAGTTGCTGTATCACTGGATTATCTGATCTTGACCTAACCAGCTGCTGTATCACTGGATTATCTGATCTTGACCTAACCAGCTGCTGTATCACTGGATTATCTGACCTTGACCTAACCAGCTGCTGTATCACTGGATTATCTGATCTTGACCTAACCAGTTGCTGTATCACTGGATTATCTGATCTTGACCTAACCAGTTGCTGTATCACTGGATTATCTGACCTTGACCTAACCAGTTGCTGTATCACTGGATTATCTGATCTTGACCTAACCAGCTGCTGTATCACTGGATTATCTGATCTTGACCTAACCAGCTGCTGTATCACTGGATTATCTGATCTTGACCTAACCAGTTGCTGTATCACTGGATTATCACTGAGTGGCCATTTTGGGGTTACAAGCAACCTGTGCTTATTGGTTGTTAAAGGCAATTTAATGGTTAATGGTCACTGACTCACTGACTTGGTCAATAGCGACATTATACACTGAAAGTGATCACTTATCATGAACTCAATCACTGGATTGTCTGATCCAGACTTGTTTCGTGACAGGTTGTATTCTTATAGCTGGAATATTGCTGAACAACAAACAAACAACGCACAAACAACGCACAAACAATGCACAAACAATGCACAAACAACAAACAAACAACGCACAAACAACGCGCAAACAACGCACAAACAACGCACAAACAACGCACAAACAACACACGAACAACAAACAACAAACAAACAACAAACAAACAACGCACAAACAACACATGAACAACAAACAAACAACACTCGAACAACAAACAAACAACAAACAAACAACGCACGAACACACCTGAAATGTACAAATCTATATATTTTTAAAGAGATAATGAATAAGTATTATATAATTATATTCTGTAATTCAGTGGAACACATGTTATATTTTGAATTGCACTTTCTCAGTAAAGTACAGATTCTAGTACTTTTTTCCATTGAGTCCCATCCGGGATTCGAACCCACACCCTCAGAGTCAGGCACCTAATCATCAGCACACAAAGTCAGCCACCTAACCCGCTCAACTACCGTGGCTTCCACAGAATCCCAGATGGGACTCAACCCAACAAAAGTAGTAGAATCTCTACTTCACTGAGAAAGTGTACCGTATATTACTGTAGATAAGTCGATCACACAGCAGATGCTATTTATAACGTGTTACATTTGACCACTTTCTAAATCTCACTGTGTATTCATATGATTCTATGTTGACACTCCTTCTTGAAATTGTCTTTTGTATGCATTCATATATATTTATTTTATCATTTTTATATGGTTATTTGTTTTTAGGCTGGCTGGAACCTATGTTGGATCGTATTGCAGAAAATAAATCCATAGTCGTTTGTCCCGTCATTGACGTCATTGAAGATGATTCGTTTAAATATCAATACGGCAGTGCTAAAGCAACTAGCATTGGAGGCTTTGACTGGAATTTACAGTTCACGTGGCACAGCATCCCCGAATACGAGAGAACTCGCAGAGCTAATGATATATTACCTGTCAGGTAACAGTCAGTCACCATAGCAACAGATTGGATATTTTTTATTTGTTTACCTTTAACTTTTCTAAGGTAAATAAATAAGATTTTTACTTACAAACAGAAGCCATGGCAGATAGCATGAATTTCTTCTCCATCTGGGACGGCTGGGTTGTGGTGAAAGAGGTCTCTTGTCACTCTGAAGACCTGTGTGAAGCTGGTATTTTTGTGTCCCATGCTGTGATATTGCTCAAATATTGCTAAAAGCGGCATAAAACCCCCCCCCCACACCCCCCAACTCAGTTGCTCATTCTTTTCTATCTGTGATGGTGATGGGAACTCCACAGGAAGAGTTATCTCCCCTTATTCTCCAACATGCTTGCTGTTTGGTTGAATAGTATTTTACAAGCAAGTATACCTGTTCATACAACATACATCATGTTGTAAATTACTGTATTATTATTGTTTGTATTAATCTGACAAATGATGTACTAACCACTAATCTTTCACTGTCAATGTCAAGGCCACACTGTTATCCATGAACAAGGGGCGGTAGGGTAGCCTAGTGGTTAAAGCATTGGCGCGTAATGCTGAAGACCCGGGTTTGATTCCCCACATGGGTACAATGTGTGAAATCAATTTCTAGTGTCCCCTGGAATGATATTGCTATAAGAGACGTAAAACCAAACTCACTCACTCACTTACTCCATGAACAAGATACTGAACGTAACTCCACAAGCATGCACACTTATGAAAAGGAGAGTTTAGTTAGCACAGCGATGGGTTCCTACAACTAGTCTGGCAGTCCTGGTGTTTATTCATACTCAAAGTGGGTAGTAAGCTTAAACAAAACAACAGTGTTAGCATTACAACAACTGTATTTGGATAATAACTTCTTCCTTGATTAGGGGCGGTGGGGTAGCCTAGTGGTTAAAGCGTTCGCTCGTCACGCCGAAGACCCGGGTTCGATTCCCCACATGGGCAAAATATGTGAAGCCCATGTCTGGTGTCCCCCGCCGTGATATCGCTGGAATATTGCTAAAAGCGGCGTAAAACCAAACTCGCTCCCAAACTCGCTCGCTTGCTCTTCCTTAAATATGATGATTTTTCAGGGCCTCTTTTTGCCCGTATTTCTAAGAATTCCTTTTGTTACAACCAATGGTTCTTTCATTGCATGTGGTTCAAGTATTTAAGTTCAAGCTTGTCATGCTGAAGACCCCTGGTCAGATTCGTCAACTACGCATGACACTGTAGCTAGATGGTCATTGTCACTTATGTACAACAAAAATGTCCATTTTTAGTGTCCCCACTCTGAAATTGCTCGAACATTACTAAAAGTAGCGTAGAACTATACTTACTAAATATTAACACCTTATGTCGAAGTCTATAAGATACTAGTCTGAAATGACCTAATGCCACTTATGATCACGATCAAAAATTAATCTTATTTCAGAACCAGACTATTGGCACCTTTGTTAAAGTTCTGGTCTTTCTGCTTCCTTTTCTTTCATACATACTGTTTTCTGAGTTTTGTTTAGCTTCAAACTTTGTTCAGCCTTCTTCATAACTATTGGCCTTTCTTTCACTGCTTGACTTGCTTTGTTTTATCTGTGTCATCATCAGCCAATCACAGTGTTTCTTATATTTCCTTCATGTGAATCTGACCAATGCCAGCTTTTGTTGTATCTGAGTGTGTCTTGGTGTTGTGTTTGTGTGTAACCAGTCTAACATTTTCATTTTTTAACTAACCTTCCCAAACTTGTAAGTCAGGGAAAACACATTCAGTCTTACATTTATATTCGGTCAACTAATCCGACATAAATATTCATAAATAAAGGTTTTGCTTTTTGACAGAAAAATGCCTTTCAAAAGCAATAAACAGAAATTGAGAAGATGGAACTCATCTTTATGGATATGTTTGAAGTTCACTAAAAGTTCATGTTCAAAATGATATCATAATTTGTTTTTATGTTTTAATTTTTTTAGATAATTTGGTGTTTAATATTTACTACTAATACTTGACTGGGGCAGTTCTTTTATGTGTTTATTAGAGATATGTCCCCCAGATTCTGTACGACATGATAATTTGATTACAAAACATGAAAATTGTCAGAAGTGTCCACAGGAAGCTAGTTATCATTGAATGTACAGTTTGACACATTGACTCTTAGACATGAACACAATGCCTAGCACTCTCTCCTGTGGTTTACACATGGTGACTTACTGTAGGGGCCGCTACCAATAATTCTGTAGCTCAGTTTTTCAGTCGGGTTGTTTTTTGTTATCTGCCCTTGATTAACCTCTTCATTTATGTTTTAGATTACTAATGCTGCATGAGAAAATATAGATTTTATATACACTCATTATTGGACGTTTTATTGCATAAGCATAGCTTCTGTGAATATTTCTGGATTTTCCGACTTTGAATTGTTAATATGAAGCATTTTTGTAAAAAATTTAGTTCTAAAATCTAATCTGTTTGAGTGTATGTAAAATCTTTAATATTTTGGGTGTTGTAATCTTCTTGAATACAAAACATATGGTCATTACAGGTTGAAAAATGGTTGACGTAAATAATGATACTGTAGCCTATTTGGAAATTCGTAATTGTATTGTATTTTGGTTTTGGAGATGTGAAACACAAATTATTTATCTGGATCAATTGAAATTCTTCAAAGGCATTTAGAAGTTGGTGTAGTAAAACAAGACAAATCCTATGGATAACAACTTCTTGATTTATTTTACACAACATTCCTGGGCTAGTTCTTGCCCCTTCGTCAGGTGGATTATTATCTTCTGGAATTATTCTGGATTATTATCCACCTGACGAAGGGGCAAGAACTAGCCCAGTAACATTGTGTAAAATAAATCAAGAAGTTGTTACCCATAGGATTTGTGTTGTATATCTGGATCAAGTAACAAGGATTTTGTAAATCTGGTGAATGTTTTTACAAAATGATTTTCTAAGTACCAAATTTTAGTTTGTAGCAACTGTTTTCTCCTCCTGAAAATGGCCATTTGTTTTACAATGATGTACTAATACTCATTTTAATATTTATTTCAATAGCCAGAGAATACATGTGAATATATACAGCATATATGTGATGTAGTTGCAATGGAAACCAGGTAGTGCAGAGACCAATGAATTTCTTTGAGTGGCATTTAAAAGCTGGTGTGATGAACATGAGAGATAGGTCTATGAATATACAAATTCTAAATTACAACATGTGTATATATTGTAATAAAGAAGTTGTATGTCAATAGAATCATCCCCCTTGTTCAAGACCAATTAATGCTCAGATTAATTTGCAAAAACGGCAATATGTATTGTGCAACATTGATATAACCTTGAGCCATCAGCTTGGAATTTTACTTCGGTAACAGGGTATGATAGGATGTGTGCAAAGTTCATACACAAATCAGGGCTCATTTGACATCAGTAAGTTATGAATGGTCTTGTTTCATTGGTTGATAAAAATAGGCCACTACACCACAATATGACTGTATGTATTCACAGGTGATGGAGGAACGTAGTGCATATATAACCTGTGAAGTATTGACTGTGTAATCAAGGACGCTGATAGTTGCTGTTTAGTTACCTCCCTTGCGACACTCTTGTTGAAGAAGTTTCTTTTTTTTCTGTGATGTTTTTGTCTGAAACTTGGCGTTGTTCCTTGATATAACTGTTTCATGAACACACAGCAAACTATTTGAAGAGAGATTTGCCATGTAACAACATCATAATCATTCCAGTTTTCTTCAGTGAAATATTTGCCAGATCGAGGCCAAACTTGTTTGATTGCAGTTTGAACTAGTTCAGGCAGGAAATTTGCGGTTTGGTCTAGAGTAATGTGGGTCATCTCTTGCACAGGCTGGCTAGAACCACTTCTTGATAGAATCGCTGCCGACAAGCGTCATGTTGTTTGCCCAGTAATAGACAACATAAATGATGACACATTGGCGTTGCAATGGTTTCCGGCTGATCAAGTCCAAGTATGCAAATTTGACTGGACCTTGACATTTAATTGGATGGTGCCCCCAAGTTATATCACCAAAGGCAGGAAGTCCATCATTGACCCCTTGTGGCAAGTTGCTCCAATTCTGTTGACCTTTGACCTTTACTAGCTGTGACCTTGACCTTTACACTCAATTAAAATATACATTGGAAAGAAAACTTTTATGTCTGAATTGTAGAAACGTATAGTAAATCTGGAACATCATAAAAAATTAGTTTGAAAATATTTCTGAGGAAATAATTTCATTTTATAGTCATTTTGATTGGTACATCGACATTCCTTTAGACAATCTGCCTATATTCTAAGAGAAGAATGTATATTTTAAGACCAGTTTCTTCAAGACATGTCCTTCCTCCTTTTGAGTGATGTCGAAGCTCCTCCTTGTGTGTCAAGACTTCTCCAGACTCTCTTCATGAAGTGCTCTGTTGTACTGCTTTGCTTTTAGAAACCATGCCCTTCAATGGTAGAGGTCAACATGGCCTTCCTCGGATACTGTCCTGAACGCCACCGTCAACTGAACGTTATACCATAGCTAGGTGGTTATGTGATTTATATTACATCATAATTTCAAATATATACTCAAGGTCAAAAGTAACTGTGATCATGTTCCATGTTACCAAGGATCACATCATAATTTAAAATAGATGCTCAAGGGCAAAAGTAATTGATCATATGTTCTATGCTACCAAGATCACATCATAATTTCAAATAGATGCTCAAGGACAAAAGTAACTCATCATATGTTCTGTGCTACCAAGATCACATCATAATTTCAAATAGATACTCAAGGGCAAAAGTAACTTCAAATATGTTCTTTGCTACCAAGATCATATAATTTCAAATATATACTCAAGGGCAAAAGTAACTGTGATCATGTTCTTTGCTACCAAGATCACATCATAATTTCAAATATATACTCAAGGGCAAAAGTAACTGATCATATGTTCTTTGCTACCAAGATCACATCATAATTTCAAATAGATGCTCAAGGGCAAAAGTAACTGATCATCATGTTCTATGCTACCAAGATCACATCATAATTTGAAATAGATGCTCAAGGGCAAAAGTAACTGTCATCATGTTCTTTGCTACCAACATCACATCATAATTTCAAGTATATACTCAAAGACAAAAGTAACTGTGATCATGTTGTACGCTACTGTGTTGTCATTTCATAACATAACATTCATACTGCAACTTTCGCCACTTGTCTGAAGCCTGAGTCGAGTAAAAGTTTGTTTGTTTTTGTAAGCTCAGGTGATAAAAAGATCCTTCATAGTAACATAAATGCCACAGAAAATTAAGCCAAAATTGGATATTTCTAGACTATTTTTGTCACAGACTGACAAACATCAAGACTTCTTGAATATTTGATCCTAATTAAACCGTATTATAATTATTTCAAAATATATTAAACTTTAGATTTAACCCCCAAATTGTGTATTCTAGACCCACACTCTGAGAAAATGTCTGATTATTTTCGTTTTTAGGTTTGGGCATAACAGAGCAGCTTGTTTCCCTATCAGCTGCAATGTGATTCAATATCTATTCGTACAGATTTCTCATTGTAGCAAGTTTTGACAGCATAGGTTAAAATTGTTATGGAATTTAGTTTGATAATTTGGAGGGACTATTTTTTATATTCTACAAAACTATAAACCATCTAAAAACTAAAGGTACAATATACTTTGCAAGTTCAGTAAAAAATATATAATTTTGCAGTTTTCCAGATTTAGAGACTTCTACAGTAATATTGATGATGCACATTCCAAAGTTTGAACAAGATTTTCTTTCATTCTTGATTCAATTTTAGTTGCAACACAGATTTGTTTGCTTATTTATTCGGATTGTTTCCAAATTTCTTCCAGGTGTTTAAAACTGCACTGTGAGGACTGATCTTTCAGGATTTATTTTATTTTCCCTTGTGTTACATCTTAAACTTTAAACAAGTCCAGTTTGCCATCTTGCTACCTTAGTACTTCACTATCTATCTGCAGGCTGGTTAGAACCGCTTATTGCCAGAATTGCCGAAGATCCACACAACGTGGTGTGCCCTGTCATCGACAACATTAACGATGAAAATTTCAGTTATTTCTGGTTTGATGAAAGTCAAATTCATGTTGGCAAATTTGATTGGACTCTAACCTTCAACTGGATGCCTGCCCCCAAATATATGCTTGCTAATAGGACCAGCAAAGTGTCACCGATTAGGTTAGTCTGTCCCATTGTCCTTTGTCATCTTCCAGAGGCAAGGGAGATAACTGACTACAAAAGTCCAGGTAGACCCCTGCCGAACTGGCTGGCATTTCTTGCTATTACAAGTTATATCGCGTCTATGTATCTCCTCTTGGCCAATCAGATTCCACCAATCAAAATACATGCATTTGCTTTAAACAAAATGGCAACACCATTTCAAGGCAATTTGAAGGTAATCAAGATCTGTATTGTTGTAAAATTGTCTTACTTCGCAAACTGCATTAATTGTCTTGAGTACTATTAGGGACCATTCATAATTAATGGCTAGTGGGGGTGATGATGATTTTAAGGGGGGTCACCCATTTTGTTCTGGGGAGGCAGGTGGGGTCAGCAATTATGTACATAGAAATACTTATTAATTATGCTTAAAGGTTGTGGGAAGGGTTTGGAGAGGTGGGGGTGTCATTGATTTTGTACAGGACATGCAGGGCGGAGTCACTTACTTTGTACATAAATTTAAGGGGTGGGGGCATTCACATTGTACATGCTTCTCCATGAAAATCATCATCACCCCCTAGCCATAAATTATGAATGGTCCCTTATATAGAATCTTTGGAAAATATCTGTCTCGCCTAGTTTGTAAATCATGGAATCAACAGAAATCTGTATGGCAATCAACTAAAAGGATATCAATTGTGTTGCACAGTCTGACTGCATAGATTCATTAGCCCATCAAAATCTCGGAATTATCAGAATAGTTTGGCAAGGGTGGAAACTAGACTATTATTGTCAGTTATCTTCCTTTCCCCGAGAATGTGTGTTCATAGGTCCTGCAGTGCGTTCATTTCATTTGCCAGATGTGGGGATAGGTGACCTTTACCTTCTTTTGACCTTGTGAACTTTGTTTGACCTCTACCACAGGGTTTTGCTTCATGTGCTGTCCTGAGCATTTCCATTTGAAAACTCAATGTGAATTGGCTTCGGCTATGTCTGCAATCATGAGATGGGTGATTTTTGTTCTTGATTGGCAGTGATCAAATTACAATTATAATGAAGTTAAGCATTTAGCCATAAATACTGACACATTGGTAAGTTTTTATCAAACTAAACAGTGGCTGACAAGAATTTGAATGGGTGATTGGGCTTTGCTACAGGTAAATAACAAAGACATTATTACATCGTCAGGAAAAAAGCAAAATAGTCCAGTTAAGAAGCTGCTAATATTGAACCACTACATGTTTATTTCTAACACTGACCAGAGACCATATATCTATTATATGGTCTCTGCACTGACTGAACACATCTTTTCTTCACAATTTGCAAAATCGTTCACCGAAGACCGGGTTCGATTCCCCACATGGGTAAAATGTGTGTAGCCCATTTCTGATGTCCCCCACCGTGATATTGCTGTAATATTGCTAAAAGCGGCGTAAAACCATACTCACTCACTCACAATTTGCAAAACCCTGTCTTTGAATGAGTGTAATGTGGCTGCGGTGGAGGTGTTTGATGGGAAGAGCTCGGGAACGATGAATTCTCATCCTTGATTAGCCAGTGAATTGTCTCCCCTTTCTGATATTCTATCCTAATATATTCTGTGTCTGTTCCCCCATGTGTCAAGCCTATTTCTGGTGTCCCCTGCTGTGATATTGCGGGAATAGTGCTAAAAGTGGCGTAAAACCCAACTCACTCACCCACTTTGTAAACAATGCCTTTGTCGTGAGAGTTGTCTGATTGGATGGTAATGTTTTGCTTCATGCCATTAAAATTCGGCTTGGACAAAATCTTGGTGAGGAGTAAATCAAGGGTATTAATCAGACAAGAATGGGGATGTAATATACTGGACGATCATGGATGATATATCATTTGGTTGGAGCCTGACAGTTTTCGGGTTTCTTAAGTAATTTTCTCGAACAAATATATACTTCTAGTGTGCACATTAAAACATTTCATAATCTCAATTTTAACAGAAAAATCTATCATCTGTCCTGCTGTTTAAAGTTGTTCTGTTTATATCCATGTTATGTCTTGTGATGGTTGAAATCCACTGCAATTTGCCATGCTTCTGTTAATGTGAATTGAGTTGTGTGTTTAAATTAGAATTTACATTTTGATGAATTATTAGTAATTACTTAACTGTAACTTTGATATGTAATGTTTTGACAAAATTTGTGTTGTTGTTTAATGCCACACTCAGCAATATTCCAGCTATATGGTGGCGGTCTGTAAATAATTAAGTCTGGAACAGACAATCCAGTGATCAACAAAGTTGGCATTCATCTCAAATATGGCAAACAGGTCATTGAGCTTGATGCTGACCACCCAATCCTGTCAGTCGCCTCTTACGACGAGCAGAATTCTAACCCGGATCTTAATCGGAAGTCAAGATTAACAGAGTTCTCATGAATACATGACAATTTCTGGTTGGAGTTGCTTCACATTTCTCACATATCAAGTGGCTTGCGTGGTCCCTCTCAGTGACTTGGTGTCGTACCCCAACAATGGGGTCCATTCTTCATAATATCAATCACTAGATTGTCTGGCCCAGACTCAGATGTCATTAAGCTGAAATAATGCTGAGAGGCCATGTGAACTGAAAAAAATTCAAGGAAGAAATGTTGTAACTGAAATGATTTCTGTACGAATGTTTTTGCATGGGTTTAATCCTTTTTCGATGTTGCAGGTCGCCGACAATGGCTGGTGGGTTGTTTGCGATCAGCCGAGAGTATTTTGAGCATCTGGGGACGTATGACCCAGGGATGGACATATGGGGAGGCGAGAACTTAGAGCTGTCTTTCAGAGTAAGTTTATGAGAACAGTTCCACAGTCAGATCACTGTTTGATTGTCGTGTATGGAGAAAACTAACAGTGCCCAGAACTGAATAGCTGGACCCCCATATGCTGCTCATTAGGATATTAATGGTAACAGTGATACCGTATTCACCATGTTAAAAGCCCTGCTTCAAACATCATTCCTGGACCAAATGCTGGACCATTCTAAAATTATTTCTTACAGTGTTCCTGTATAAGTTCCAAAAATCGACCCACCAGTACATTTTGTTTCTTGTGTATATTACACAGTTTTTATAGAAAACAGCAGCATAGAAGGTTCATACAGTTGCCGAGCAACCATTAGCACCATTAGAAAGGTTTTAGTTTCACTGAACTTTGAAACCAAGTTTGTTCTCTACAGTTGGATGTCTGAAGATGAACTTAACTCCTGTATACTTTGATAAGTACTGCCTTCATCAATTCCTTAAGGTGCCTGAGGCACTGTTTATGGCAAATACGGTATCAATGATGGAAATAAAGATTTATACTTGAAAAGAATCTTGTTTCTATAAGCATGTTAATGATGATAATGTTAAAGATAATGCTTAGTTGATGATGAGTTTGTGAAGTGTATATTGTGCTTACAAAGTTACATTCTGTAATAATAATGCTAAGGCCAGACCAATTTTATTTCTTGTTTTACGGATTTTTGTCCTCAGAAAACCTAAAGGCATAGGGAAAAAAAAATTAAAAAATCACCAGTCAAAGTAATATTTGTTCTAAATAGTCAAAGTATTTTACTTTTGGCAGTTTATGAAGTGTATATGAGGCAAAAAGCAATGTGAAAAAACTCTTTTTGTAAGTTTACATTTTTGGCCAATAAAAACGTTAGGATTTTATATTTTGAGCGGGGAAAATTAATTATTATATTTTTGTTATTCTTGAAAAAATACGACAGATGGATCCATAAAACAAGAAATAAATTTGGTCTGGCCTAAACATGTTTCTTGAATTGAGACGACGAGATGTGACACTATTTATGGCAACTACAGTATCAAAGACATGACTGCAACATAAGTTTATGACTTTATGACTCTAAGTTTGTGACTGCTGTTTTTTTCAGGTCTGGATGTGTGGCGGTTCTCTAGAGATCATCCCCTGTTCTCACGTTGGACATATATTCCGGAAACGGAGTCCGTACAAATGGAAGACAGGTGTCAACGTCGTGAAAAAGAACTCCGTCAGACTGGCGGAAGTCTGGATGGATGAATATAAGAATTATTATTATGAAAGATTTAATTTTGATTTGGTGAGTAAATATTATTGACAATAATGAAAACATTTCTGTTCTACTGATTGTGGGGTGGTGGGGTATCCTAGTGGTTAATACGTCCCCTTGTCACACTGGAGACATGGGTTCGATTCCCCACATGGGTGCAATGTGTGAAGCCCATTACTGGTGTCCCCTGCCGTGATATTGCTGGGATATTGCTAAAAGCGGCATAAAACTGAACTCACTCACTCACTCATGGTGCTGATTGTTGTAGGACATGTATTATAGGCTGTTATCATGTCAATAGTTCCAAGGGAGACAACAGATCTCCAGTATCAGGTGGTTGGAAGAGACCACTAGTATATTTTATAGACAAACTTTATGGGATAACAACTTCTTGATTTCCTGATTGCTATTCGTGAGAATCTACAATGTAGATGTCGCTTGTAGATGTCGCTTGTAGATGTCGCTTGTAGATGTCACTTGATCTCACACAAGCGATGTCTGCTTTGGGAGCCAGTTTTGGATGAAAAAGACGGAATATTACCGACTGTGGCATAATTCTTTTACTGGGCTGTGGTATAAATATAATGTCCTTTTTAAATTAATTTATTGTACGCATTTGGACCGTGTTTGTTCAATAATTGCATAGAAGTAACCGTAGATATTTGAATGTATTATTATTTATCAGGGTCTACAAATCCATCTTCTGTGTTTCAGGGAGATTTTGGTGATGTCACAGAAAGGAGAGCTTTAAGGAAAAGGCTAAACTGTAAAAGTTTTGATTGGTTCGTCAAAAATATCTACCCGGATCTGTTTGTTCCGGGTGAAGCTGTGGCTTCCGGCGAGGTGAGACTAGCAGCCTTTACTAGCTATGTCATCCATTAAGTTCGTCAGTATGGTACATGTGTGACCCTGTGTTGGTGCAATTAGAGCAGAGTGCCGTTGTGTGTTGGTAATGGTAGAACTGGAGCAGAAAGCCGATCTGTGTCTGAGTGAATGTCCAGTTGTAACAGACAGCACAAAAGTTTTGCATTTTTGCACTGATTGATGTCTCTGATTTCATTTCTGGTTTTTTGCGTGTACACCCGTGAAGATCCGGTTAGAATTTGTGTTCAGCAGCCCATGCTTGTCTTAAGACGTGACTATCAGGATCAGGCTCGATGACTTGGTTTGACACATGCCATAGTATCCCCATTGCATTGATTGATGCTCATGCTGATCCAGATTCAAATATTTGCAGACCGCCACATAGCTGGAATATTGCCAAGTGTGGCGTTAAACAACAAACAAACAAAACAAAACATTACAGTTTATTTTGCATAATAATTATTAAATAATCAGACCTTGAAGTTATTATTGTTGCCATATTTATAAGAACTGACTTCACTATGTTTTGCGAGTCTTTGGAATTCTGGGCCCCGTTTCACATAGCTGTCGTAAGCCTAAGATCTCTTAACTTTTCTTGTAGTAGTCGTACCTCCTTTGTTACAGTATAGGAGATATGACTGCTACGAGAAAAGTTACGAGATCTTAGGCTTACGAGAACTTTGTGAAACGGAGCCCTGGTATGAATACCAGATGGATTTACACAGTGATTGCATAGTTGTTATGCTAGACAGATATACATATATATGGGTATATAACAAAAGTGCAACAACAATTGAAATAGATCATCATACTGCTAAAATTTTAATAATTTCCTCAAATGCTGCCATGTTTGGGGACCCGTGAAGATCCAGGTTAGACCTGATCTTCAGTAACCTGTGTTGGTCGTAAGTGGCGACTAATGGGATCAGGTGGTCAGACTCGCTGACTTGGTTGACACATGTCATTGTATGCCAATTACATAAATCGATGCTCATGCTGTTGACCACTGGATTGTCTTACTTGATTATTTACGGACCACTGTGATATAGCTGGAATATTGCTGAGTGTGGCTTAAAACTAAACTCACTCACTCACTCACCATATTTGGTGAGACTAAACAACTGCCTGTGAAGTATTTGTCCTATGTGAAATATTTGTCCTATGTGAAGTATTTGTTCTGTGTGAAGTATTTGTCCTATGGAAGTATTTGTTCTATGTGAAGTATTTGTTCTATGTGAAGTATTTGTCCTATGTGAAGTATTTTCTATGTGAAGTATTTGTCCTATGTGAAGTATTTGTTCTATCAGGGGTGGAAATAACTTTAAAATTGCTAGTGTACTCCGTTACAGTGGCACATGTAAAATCACTTGCCCTGATAATTTTTCCACTATACCAGACATTTTCTTGTTGATTTTTTAAATAAACAACATAATTAACATTGGAAAGTCAACTGGACACCAGTACAGTGTGATATACAAATTTGCTTGCCCAACAGAAAAAAAAAAAATGGACTCGGACGTCGGGCAATGGGTTATTTCCACCCCTGCCTATGTGAAGTATTTGTCGTATGTATCTGAGAGTTAATGTGTTGTGTGTTGCAGGTGAGGAGTAAGGCCAAGCCCATGTGTATCGACAGCCCTGTGGACCACCACAACTACCACAAGGCAGTCAACATGTGGCCCTGTCACAACCAGGGCGGCAACCAGGTCTGTACAGGGCGGGGCACAACCGTAAACCATTGAACATTCTCCTACCGAATAAAACCAAACCTTGAATATATACCTGCCTTGAATAGAACCCTACCTTTAAACATTATCTACATTGAATAGAACCCTACCTTGAATAAATATCTACCTTGAATTATTATTTACCTTGAATATTTACCTCCTTGAATAGAACCCTAAATTGAGCAGAACCCTACCTTGAATAAATATCTACCTTGAATTATTATTTACCTTGAATATTTACCTGCCTTGAATAGAACCCTAATACATAATAACCTTCAATGACCACATGCATTGAATGTTTGCATTATCATTCTTTCCATACCATGAATAATTACCTGCTTTGAATAACCTCACCTTGAATAACCACTTGCATAGAATATGTACATGTACCTATCTTAATTATTGCCTACCTTCAATAGAACCCTACCTTTAATAGAACCCTACCTTCAATAGAACCCTACCTTCTATAGAACCCTACCTTCAATAGAACCCTACCTTTAATAATAACCTGCCTTGAATAACTACATGTACATTTCTTGAAATTTACCTGCCTTGAATACTATCTATCTTGATTAGAACCATCCCTTTAATAATTACCTGAATTAACATGATAACTTTGGTTAACCCCCTGCCTTGAAAAATACCATTCTACTTTGACTTAAAAGCGCTACCTTTGATAATACCCTAATTTTAATAAACCCCTACTGACTTAATGAAAGAAGTAAACACCAGTTTAAACATTTGGCGAAAATTCAGTTTAAGATAAAGAAATGCCTATATCAAGAAGCAAGTGCCTTTGGATAAATATTAGACCTTATGAAATCTACTCCACACACATATTCAAGGATTAACAGTATTTAGGAATCAAGTTAGTTGATTGGTTAATCCAGACCCATCTTCGCGAAGAAGACTTAGTTCTGCAACTACAGTAAATCTATTAAAGTATACAATCCCTGTGTCAGTATATGGGTCAAGGGAGGCAGGTTTGGATTGTCTTCACTCGTCGTCACTAACTGACTGAAGCAGCCAATGAAACAAGATACTGTATATTTCCAGTACTGGATGATGAGCAAGGGAGGCGAGGTCCGCCGTGATGACGGCTGTTTGGACTACTCAGGCGGGGATGACGTCATCATATACCCGTGTCACGGTCAGAAGGGTAACCAGGAGTGGCAGTATAAGGAGGTGAGCATATTGCATGGAAGAGTGAGTGAGTGAGTGAGTGATGCAAGGCTTGGAGATTTGACTTAGGTGAAACTCACGAGCATAGGTTTATTGGTGACAAAACGTTTGGGACCCGAGAAGATCTGGGTTAGAATTGGTCTTCATTAACCTATGCTTGTTGTAAGAGGCAACTAACGGGATCGGGTGGTCAGGCTCACTGGCTTGACTGCCACATGTCATCTTATCCCAATTGTGCGTAGATCGATGCTCATGATGTTGATCACAGGCTTGTCTGGCCATATAGATGGAATATTGCTGAGAGCGGCACTAAACAACAAACATACAAAACAAACAAATGATGTCATTGTATCCCGATAGCTTAGATCTGTGCTCATAATATAAATCATCAGATTGTCTGGTCCTGACTTGATTATTTACAAACCGCTGCTATACAGCAGGAATAATGCTGAGTGTGTTCAACAGCAAACAAACAAAATCAATCCTTTAAATTCTCTGCTTATCTTACAGGACAACACAATTCTACATGTAAACACACAGAAGTGTGCGGAGGTGTCGATAGACGGCAAGAAACTACAGATGCGTCCGTGTTCCGGCATCGACAGACAACTCTGGCAATGGAAAAGAAAACCCCCAACAGGAATTATACGTGACAAAGCTTAGTTCATCATCTGAAGTCGTGTATCCTCAGTCACTATGCAATTAAATATCTTATCTCGCCTGTGATTGGTCAGAACTTTTAAGCTGACCTCCTCACCTCATCGCTGAACAGGAGCAGATAACTCTTGCCTAATGTGCATTTCCAAACATCATGAAGATTGTCTGAGTGTTGGATACATACTGTTTACAACCTCATGTGGAGATATATGTATATCGGTGAATGGTTGGTATAATTTGTGTGATTGGATGACATCCTGTGGCCATTAAGGTTGGATGAAAACTTAGAAGAGGAGAAAATGCTTGAAAAACTTTTGTATAGATATATTAAAACACAAATACTAATGGAACAGTCTATTATATGGAATCTGGAAATCCTGACATAGCCATATATGGGCAAAGTTTGACATATGATTGTGTACTCATTGACCTTCACATTGGCATATGACCTTGTAATGATTTGAAGGCATATCCTTGTTGGTGCAACTTTCAAGTATTTGCCCTTGACCTTACCAATTACCATGACCTAGTTGTGGGTGTGACCTTGACCTATGACCTCATTTATTATGGGCTTACATGAAGTGATTCACTGATCTCCTTTCCAGGCTTAAAATGCTATGTCAACATCTTTCATCAGGGGAGACAACTGATAATATATATTCTGTCAAAGAGGTCACAATGACTTAATTAAGTGGCACAATTTCTCAAACAGCCCAGGTTTTACTAACACACTAGTACAACGCTGCATTCCATCTTGTGAGATTTGCTTCATTGATAATCAAGATTTGGTCATCTGCAATCTGACAAAAGACTTCCTGTATATTACTGACTGTTGTTTAGGGGATCAACTGATATTTTCTTCATTATAACCACATTCCACTCAGCTGAAAATACAGAAAAACACATGATTCATTGTATATGTTTAAAATATATATGTAAATATCAAATTTGGGATGAGGGCGGGGACTTCTATCCTGTTTATTACAGGAAGAATAAGTAAGCAGTGACACATATATATACTTCAGTCCATGTTTAGGGCTACAGCTCCTTAGCTTAAGCCCCTGAATATGGATTCTTATGAAAATGTTATATTTGAAGGCATGTCTTTGTTTAAGCATGTGCTACCTATTTTTCTATGTACATTATCATCAATATGTGGGATTAAAAGTATTTTATCGTTTTTCTAGATTCAATTTGAAATATTTCCTTTTTTCATGATTGAATGCTTCAGCAACTTGGGGATTTTTTTTCATGTGAAAGTGTTTTATATGTTACCACTTCTGTGAAGGTGATGGACAAGTGAGTGCATCTGATAAATTTGAGGGACATCTGTTGCAGTATGTAATATCATTTAATTACGCAATTTCATACTATCAAGGTTATACGTGTATCATGGCTCACAAATCATTTAGTTACACAATTTTCAAATTCATGGTAAGGTCAGACCAATTTTATTTCTTGTTTTACGGATCTGCCTGTCATATTTTTTCAATAATCAGAAAAAACATAGAAATGAATTTTCCCCGCTCCAAAAATCAAATCCTAATGTTTTTATCTGCCAAAAATGTAAACTTACAAGAAAATATCTTTTTAGATTGTTTTTTGCCCCATATACACTTAATAAATTGCCAAAAGTAAAATACTTTGAGTATTTGGAAGGAATATTACTTTGGTGATTTTATTTTTATTTTTTTCCCTCCTGCCTTTAGGTTTTCTGAGGACGAAAATCCGTAAAACAAGAAATAAAATTGGTCTGGCCTAATAAGGTTATATTTTGCATATTGATAATCATTGAGGGTTTGAAGTTGCTGACAAATTATTATTATTATTATTTTTTTCGTTAAGTGCATCATGGCTCACAAACCTCTGTTCTCTGTTGCGATTCTGTGTTAGACCTGGTCCTGTGTTTGTTGAATAAGGTGACTTTACAGGTGAGGTGATCTTCCTCAGGTGACTTTACAGGTGAGGTGATCTTCCTCAGGTGACTTTACAGGTGAGGTGATCTTCCTCAGGTGACTTTACAGGTGAGGTGATCTTCCTCAGGTGACTTTACAGGTGAGGTGATCTTCCTCAGGTGACTTTACAGGTGAGGTGATCTTCCTCAGGTGACTTTACAGGTGAGGTGATCTTCCTCAGGTGACTTTACAGGTGAGGTGATCTTCCTCAGCTGCCTCAAGATAAAGTAGAACATGAGATATTGGGCACAGCGGAAAATTGTTTGTGTGTGAGTGTAGACTGAAGGAATAATTGATATATTTCTTATTCTGGTTTGAAACAAATTGTTGACATGAACTTGGTTCTGACTTCTATGTGTACTGTGATTGTGCTCCCTTAAACTCTCTCATCAACAGGATACTGCTTTGAGTTGATCCTCACCCATCCTTGACCGTTCCCAGCTATACCTGTCCTCACTCACTCACCCACCCTCACCCTCGCAACAACCCACCCACATTCCTTCCTCTATTAACACACATCCACCCACACTACCCACACTCACCTGTGCCCACCCTCCTCTCTATCACTACCACCCTAAAACCCAACACACTCCCTCCTCTACGCACATCAACACACACTACCTCCCCCCCTTCCAACACATGCACACCAGCCAGTCGACCCTCTCCCGCGCATCCACCCACACCCATTACCCCCACCCACTATCCCTCACCCACACCCCTCACAATAAACAGGGAACTAGAGTCATATCTATTGAGGTTCATGAGAAACTGAGAGCAGCATACAGGTCGGGCAAATTTGGATGAGGACTAGAGGACAGAATGGTTTTGTGGAGCTAGTAGATGAAAAAGAGAAACTTATTCAGACATTTAATTTCCAAAAGCTTTCCCATTTTTTTATTTTGTCAACCTAATACAACAACAAAAATAATAAAACTAAGATACACTATGACATACATCCTGTTATTGAAGTTTAGTGTGTAAAATACATACGTTTTCTTTTCAGAAGTGCAGGACATGCACTGTGTATAGGTAATAGTAGTCTGCCTCACAGTCCCTGAATCACCTTATTATCACTACAGCCCAGCCCTCTCTGTAATGCTAAAACCCTAAATGAAGCAAGTCTAGATTTGCCCAGGTTCTGAATCTTCCATCTGACAGGGGCTCCTTTTCAATAAAAATGGTTTATTTGTTACTATCAAAATTATGTGTACATTCAGGGGCTAAGCGTTAGTCTTATAGGTGTACGTGTGCTCAGTTGGGGCCCAGTGGCTGCATCATCTAGCCCCAAATGAGAATAATTATAGAAACTTGGTCAACCTGGCGTAAAATGCACTCAAGTGCACTTACAAATGACTTAAAGTGGAATTATTTATTCATTTCTTGTTAACAGTTAATATTTGTGCATATCATTATATGTTGTACATACAATGTTACCATTTCCACCATTGTCATATGGAGGCCTGGGTTTCCATGGCAACTTACATTCCATGGGGTACTATTTGCTGGGAAATATGGCCCCCTGGGACCAAATTGTTTTGTTAAATAGGTTTTGTTCTGTTCCAGGATTGTCACAGTGTGTGGGTATTGTTTTGTTTTGGCGATGTGTTATTTATTGTGTAATATTAGTGTTAAATTAATGACAGCTCTACTGCTTTATGCAACATGTTTTTGACCTTAGACATGACTTGAAGATTGACACACCGGTACCGTACTTGACATATTTAGTGTGACTCCTTATTAAGCACCCTTAATCGAAATATGTAGCTCACACATCGCTTTTGCCCCCAAAGTTTTTACCTCTTTTAACTTTAAAATGAGTGAAATGAATCACATGATTACAACTGAAGAAAGTAATGAATATAGCTCATCGGGGCGACTGTGAACCAAGGAGTAGAACAGTATTTTTACGGTGCCGGGCGATACCTGTTGATTGACTTTTTGTGCGATTGTAGACCTCTTTCTAATTAACATCCCTCTTTTCTGGGTACCTAGTAAATGCCTATTTGGATTTTAGTGAACTAAGTGGTCAGGGCGCTAAATACGTCAAATATGGCAGTCCCGATCAGTTGTCACAAATACATTTCAATCTTATCAAGTATTTATTAAGTTTGTAATGACATTATTAGCTACAGCATGTGTTTTATTGGTAACAGTTGTATGTTTTCAATTATTACAGTAGCGACAGAAAAAAATGAAGTGTTATTATTTATACTTTTTTCTTATGGCAAATGATACTTTTTTATCTTCAAAACGACATATGAACACAATGCATGTTATTAAGGCCACAGTAATTGTTTAATGTTTAATCTAGCCAGTAATTGTTTAATGTTTAATCTAGCCACCCTTGCTACCAGATAACAATGTTCTATTGTTAAAGACATTGAAAGTTGCTATAATTGATGAAATACCGTATACTCGCTGATTTGTATATGGGTCATTGTAAAACTGCAATTCTGTTTTGTGATATGTTAAAAACCCAGAGAATTATTAATTTGAGTTTCATTATGCAAGGATTCTTTGTTTGTAATTCACCATAAAAGGTTGATATTGGGGTAAAATATATGAATTCAGTATTTCTACAAGTGATGGAACAATCACTGATTGAGAAATTTTTGTTGACAAACATTAGACAAATCTACTTAGCAGGACTAGGGGTAAAACAAACGTTTATTTGCATGTATAACTGACTGTTCATGTATACAGTGTTATTGAAGATTGTACCATCCCTTTTGAAATTCTCTGGATTAACAAATGTCCAGATTAGCCAGTCATCATTACGGGATAATGTTTCCTTCAAACATATTCTGGTAGACGATTCCAACGAGAAGTCGAAGTTTCCACAGGATCGGTGTCCTGACTAAGGACGTTTCACTGTTCGATGGATCAGTTTATTTTTGTATTGAGGGGGGCTTGGATGGTAATGGAATGTGCTGCATAGGGTTCAAATCCCAATTATGTACTGAACCTTGGTTTGTCAGTACCATTCCCGAGCTTGTACATTTCTCAGAGCGGAAAACATTTTTGCACTTTTGGATTTCCTCTCGCATTAATCTGAAACACCATGACATAACAAAAACACTATTCAGACAATATTGATTCAGATTTGCTTATTTTCTATAAACGTTCATGTTTCTTCGAAAAATTGTGGTTCATTTCTAAGTCCCTGTAAATGGCGCGGTCTCGTTAACCCATGATCAGCAAAATTGTTATGGTGATGTACTATAGGCAACCTAAGTAAACCTTTTGCAGCATTTAGGTCAAATGTTTCATAGTAGGTCAAATATTTTGCATAGCCGATTGTGAATTTACTGACAGGCAAAGGGTTAAGGATGCGTTATTTTTTATTTTACCTTTCACAACATGTCAGGGGTTTACTTACTGTCACAAGTAAATGAAACTGTGATATTGTGATACTGCTCTTTGACTGTTATTGTTACCATTGTTATTAGGGGCCGTGGGGTAGACTAGTGGATAAAGCGTTTGCTCGTCACACTGAAGACCCGGGTTCGATTCCCCGCATGGGTACAATGTGTGAATCCCATTTCTGGTGTCCCCCTCAGTGATATTGCTGGAATATTGCTAAAAGCGGCATAAAACTAAAGTCACTCACCATTGTTTTTGTCACTACTGGTTACTACAGAAAGTAGTACGTCAACATGTGACGAGGGTAAACTCATCCAGGAATGTTCAAAATTTATAATCTTTATAGATATTCATGTCTAGATTATTTTGCCTGTGTTAGATTATTGCTATATCATATATGGAGAGTGCTATCTAGAGATAACCGTATCTGATAAATTTGGTATCGCGATTCTTTAGATAGGCTTGTTTATTTGTTGTTTAACACCGCACTCAGCTTAGATATGCTAATGAGATCAGTCACAGGAACTACTTGTAAGCTTTATACATCGATGCAGTCAGCTTGCTCAAAGTACTACTTCCGGTACTGAGCTAGCTCCCAGCTCTCTTAGTCTGCGCCAACTTGCGATATGTAAGACGGGGCCCAGCTTACTTTCGGTACCAGATTTCCCAGAACCAGTTCTAGTTCCAAATCGTGCAACTGCCAAATATGACTTTACTAGACCAGACAAGTTTATAACCATGCTTGGCTGTCACAGCTGTTGACAGTCAATATTTGGCTAATTTGGGGCGGGTGGCGGGTGGGGGGGTGTTTAGATCGGAAATTTATTCCTGCAAGGATTATTGGTTCCTTACTGTCAACTGACAATGAGGAGACCATTCGAAAGGTATGAAACGTTTGTCACCGGAAGTACTAAGGTCTCGTGAAATGCCGTGACCTACTTAGGGGTCCTATAAATACCGGTAGGCATTTTTCAGTGTAGCTGATCCTGTATAGAATACATATATATATGAAAATAGTTCCTTACACGACACAGGGACTGGTCACACACGATTCTAAAGTTACATTTTTAAGTGAAAATATGTCTCAAGCATCGATTAGTATAAAAATGAAATTATATAATACAGATGTTATGACTGCAAGTATTTCAATAGCTGATTGTGTTTCTGTATCAGAAAATATATTATGTAGGGACACTTGCACTTTACAGGTCCCTGCTTTCGGGACCCTAACCCTCGCTAGAGTAAACCCAAAATGGCGTAAACTTCCGGGGACCCGTAAAGTGCAGTCTACCCGATTATGTATTTATTAAGTTTGATATTTGCTCCTCGTGTTTGTTTTCAATCATGATGTTTATGGTACTTCTAGTAAATTATTACTTATTCCAAACTTAGCACTATTTCATGTCAGATTATATTGATGCAATATACTTTTTGTCTTACAGTATACTGAGAGTTTATAGTGAAATCCTGGAGATGGCGGAAATGTTATGTATTTCTATCAAAAGCTTGTAATGTGCATATTTATTTAAGATATATTTTTGTATGAAATTATTTTAATTTGTAGCCAGAAACACGACTCCCCTTATTATTGCCAGCATTATTGAGGGTTAGAATTTGAGTGGATTTGTCAGTCATAAGTGAATTTCTATGTGTATTAAGTAGACATGATACCATTGTTAGATATTCAACATTCATTTCAGTGTCTTGTTCGATCGACTGATTTTCTGTTGCATGTAAGAAAATATATTCATGTTACTTATGCTGTCAAAAAATCATTTGCATTGAAAAATGTGGAAAAATTATTTAAGACAATGCGAATGATATATGCTGAAATATTTGTAAATATGTACATTGATTTTGAATGAGTGATAAATGATTGGTTGATTTGAAATACATGTTGGATGGTGTAGTGCAGACACCATGAGTTGTCTCCCTTTAGTACTTGCTTTTGTTGGTGCATTGGCAGCATCTGTAGAAGGGAATCATGCTGCCAAATTTAAAAAGGAAAAACAATTTGGAAGTTACTACGCACATTGTAGCAAATGAATAACAATATTTGAACATGCGTGTCAGTCTGACAGAAATAGTGCAGTGAAACCCATGGACGATGTATATATCTGGAAAAACATTAAGCGCCATCCATTATTTTTATACATCAACAACTAAGAATTCATTTAAAAAAAAAATTAAAACCACCTCCGCTTAGCGGATAGAGAAGCAAGTTGGTGGTTTGTTCCGTGGCTGTATCATATTACGATGTTAAGAGATGGTACCCTGGCTAATCAGCTCAGTTGGTACTGTCTCCATGTTATTATTACTCAGTGGTCCAGAACATGGCAATAGTAGAACATGTTATGTTTGGGATTACACTTTCTCAGTCAACTGCAGATTCTAGTACTTTTTGAGTCCAATCCGGGATTCGAACCCACACTGGCAATAGTACACATTAGTAGAAGCAGGCACGCATATTTGTGTGATAATCTCAAAATCCATGTTGAAAATAACTCTGTGTGACATTGATTTCTTAAACACGAAGTAAGGTACATGATGAACTGTTTTTCAAATTCAGTGTTTTCCCCGAACCATTTCTCAAGATGTCACAATATGTTCCATACAAAAGTTAAGGAAAAGCTGATCTATTTTCACTTTGTCTTATGGGACTAGTGTTTGGTATGTCCATGATGAATGAAAACATGGGATTTTCTTTAACTTAATTTGAGTAGTATATATAACTTGATGACGTGGATGCTGGGGAAGCAAGCACAATTGTTGTCGACAGCGTTAATGGAATAGTTATAATATAGTTTCTGTATTACAAAGTGACTTCCAGGGGCTGTAACTTTGTAAACTGTTCCTTCTGAAAATAAATTAGCATAGGTCATTTCCAAGAAATTGCCTCTTGTAATGGTGCTTAATGTTTTTTAGGTGTATATAACTGAAACATTCCATGCCAATGATTTTGGTAATTATGGACAACTGTTCCAAGGGGTACTGTCTGGATGAAAGGGGTTTCACTGGATAAGTATTCATGTTGTCCTCAGGCTGGTTCAGTAGTTTTGAAGTGGTGCCGTTGTTTAGTTTTGAGAAAGCCAGTGTGTTTGTGGCCATTATGTTCTATGTAAAGAAACTGAAGAGAGACAATTCAGAGTATTTTGTATCATAGTATTATCAACTTGGAATCACAAGTCACTGTTGAGGGAAATATTCAACAGGGGGAAAAATCAAGTGCCTTTAAAATAAATGTGATTTTGATATGTGAATGTTTTGTTGTCTGTGTTGATGGGGACGAGGGCACGAGGGGACGAGGGAACATGAAAAACAAGACACTATGGAGATGTTGGTTCACATGTGGCCTGATGCTTGTCTCCTTGTGGAGATGTTGGTTCACAGCCTGATGCTTGTCTCCTTGTGGAGATGTTGGTTCACAGCCTGATGCTTGTCTCCTCCTGGAGATGTTGGTTCACAGCCTGATGCTTGTCTCCTCCTGGAGATGTTGATTCACAGCCTGATGCTTGTCTCCTCCTGGAGATGTTGGTTCACAGCCTGATGCTTGTCTCCTTGTGGAGATGTTGGTTCACAGCCTGATGCTTGTCTCCTCCTGGAGATGTTGGTTCACAGCCTGATGCTTGTCTCCTCCTGGAGATGTTGGTTCACAGCCTGATGCTTGTCTCCTCCTGGAGATGTTGGTTCACAGCCTGATGCTTGTCTCCTCCTGGAGATGTTGGTTCACAGCCTGATGCTTGTCTCCTCCTGGAGATGTTGGTTCACAGCCTGATGCTTGTCTCCTCCTGGAGATGTTGGTTCACAGCCTGATGCTTGTCTCCTCCTGGAGATGTTGGTTCACAGCCTGATGCTTGTCTCCTCCTGGAGATGTTGGTTCACAGCCTGATGCTTGTCTCCTCCTGGAGATGTTGGTTCACAGCCTGATGCTTGTCTCCTCCTGGAGATGTTGGTTCACAGCCTGATGCTTGTCTCCTCCTGGAGATGTTGGTTCACAGCCTGATGCTTGTCTCCTTGTGGAGATGTTGGTTCACAGCCTGATGCTTGTCTCCTCCTGGAGATGTTGGTTCACAGCCTGATGCTTGTCTCCTCCTGGAGATGTTGGTTCACAGCCTGATGCTTGTCTCCTCCTGGAGATGTTGGTTCACAGCCTGATGCTTGTCTCCTCCTGGAGATGTTGGTTCACAGCCTGATGCTTGTCTCCTCCTGGAGATGTTGGTTCACAGCCTGATGCTTGTCTCCTCCTGGAGCCTGTTGGTTCACAGCCTGATGCTTGTCTCCTCCTGGAGATGTTGGTTCACAGCCTGATGCTTGTCTCCTCCTGGAGATGTTGGTTCACAGCCTGATGCTTGTCTCCTCCTGGAGATGTTGGTTCACAGCCTGATGCTTGTCTCCTCCTGGAGATGTTGGTTCACAGCCTGATGCTTGTCTCCTCCTGGAGATGTTGGTTCACAGCCTGATGCTTGTCTCCTTGTGGAGATGTTGGTTCACAGCCTGATGCTTGTCTCCTCCTGGAGATGTTGGTTCACAGCCTGATGCTTGTCTCCTCCTGGAGATGTTGGTTCACAGCCTGATGCTTGTCTCCTTGTGGAGATGTTGGTTCACAGCCTGATGCTTGTCTCCTCCTGGAGATGTTGGTTCACAGCCTGATGCTTGTCTCCTCCTGGAGATGTTGGTTCACAGCCTGATGCTTGTCTCCTCCTGGAGATGTTGGTTCACAGCCTGATGCTTGTCTCCTCCTGGAGATGTTGGTTCACAGCCTGATGCTTGTCTCCTCCTGGAGATGTTGGTTCACAGCCTGATGCTTGTCTCCTCCTGGAGATGTTGGTTCACAGCCTGATGCTTGTCTCCTCCTGGAGATGTTGGTTCACAGCCTGATGCTTGTCTCCTCCTGGAGATGTTGGTTCACAGCCTGATGCTTGTCTCCTCCTGGAGATGTTGGTTCACAGCCTGATGCTTGTCTCCTCCTGGAGATGTTGGTTCACAGCCTGATGCTTGTCTCCTCCTGGAGATGTTGGTTCACAGCCTGATGCTTGTCTCCTCCTGGAGATGTTGGTTCACAGCCTGATGCTTGTCTCCTCCTGGAGATGTTGGTTCACAGCCTGATGCTTGTCTCCTCCTGGAGATGTTGGTTCACAGCCTGATGCTTGTCTCCTCCTGGAGATGTTGGTTCACAGCCTGATGCTTGTCTCCTCCTGGAGATGTTGGTTCACAGCCTGATGCTTGTCTCCTCCTGGAGATGTTGGTTCACAGCCTGATGCTTGTCTCCTCCTGGAGATGTTGGTTCACAGCCTGATGCTTGTCTCCTCCTGGAGATGTTGGTTCAGAGCCTGATGCTTGTCTCCTCGTTTAGATGTTGGTTCCCAGCCTGATGCTTGTCTCCTTGTGGAGATGTTGGTTCACAGTCTGATGAAGAAAATGTCCTCAGGACCCGATGCTCGTTTCCTCTTGGGGATGCTTGCTCTGAATTTTGTTCATCATGTATATTTCCTGAATGACTTTGGAGACTAGAAAGACTCCAATTTGGGTGTTCAATAGAATAAATATAACAATATATAAAAAAGTCTCTTTAATAAAAGTCAGCATACTGTGGGTTTTCTTAAGGCTAGGCAGACATGGTGAATTGAATAGATCCACTAAGGCCAAAAATTGAATATGTGTGTTTCTGATTTCAGACCATCCCCCTAAAAAAATGGGGGAAAAAGGATAGTTTGTTCAGTATTTTTCAAATAATGTTTTCACTTTTTGTCTTTGAAAATTAAAACAAATTGCTGGTTGATTGGTAGATGCACAAAAACTTTATGCTAGTTGAATGAATTAACAATTTCAGGATGATGAGTGAGTGAGTGAATTGGTCACGACGGGAGACACCAGAAATGGGCTTTGCACATTGTACCTATGTGGGGAATTGAACCTGAGTCTTCAGCTTGATGAGCGAACGCTTTAGCCACTAGGCTACCCCACCGCCCGTCAGAGTTGAGAGGGTCGTGGAAACCAGAAACACACGTTTTACTTTTGGCCGTAATTAATTGTTAACATTGAGGATTACAAACATAAGAAAAACATGTGACTATTTTCCGTCATAATATCATCAGTATTGCCATATAATAAAGAATGAAGACAATTGAAACGGTCAAAAACAAGGTGCTCTACAGACCAATATCTGTATTCATGGTAACAAAGTGTCTAAACTGCAGAAGAAAACAGGAATCAGTAACAGGACATCAACATACAACATCAAAACTGACAATGAAAATGAACAACACGAAAATAAACCGCAGAAAGACGGGGGTCACAAAATCAACAGGTACCATAGTTGAAAGACAGCACTGCTCACAGGGCACAACCACCTCATCTCTCATCGACGACGGTGTAGCAAGAAAGTTCAAGAAAATGTGGTTTTCATTAATGGTCCACATTCATAACAGGAGCACCCATTTACTAAACAGAATTCGCACAGATTTGAAAATTCTTTGAATCATAGAATTCATCTTAAATAGTCCTTGAAAATATATAATCAATATGGGCCTGGATTTCCTAGCTATTCGAATTCTCACCTAAATATTATAAATACCACTTTTCTTTTTAAGTTTGAATCTGTTAACAAAAACTGTTTAAATGAAGTGAAAGTAACTTATATCCAGTGAGTTATCTCCCTTTCAGGATCGTATGCTTGCCCCAGAGCTGACTATGTGTAAATATCTAGAAAGGCCAACATATTCTCATATGCAAATGGTTGTAAGAGTAAAGAATGTTTAATTTGTATTGTTATTAGCTTCCAGGAGAAGGGTCCTGAATATTGTGACAGAAATTCTGCAACAACATCATTACAAACTGACAAAATGAAAGTACAGTGCCTCGTGGTTATAAAGTCTGATTTCCACACAGAAATAAACTGGCTATGACGAGAAGCTGGTTATAATGCCAGAAATGGTTTGGTTGGTTTGTTCATTCGACGGCAATATTCCAGCTATATGGTGGCGGTCTGTAATTAATTCTGTCTGGACCAGACAATGCAGTGATCAACAGCATGAGCATCGATCTACGCAATTGGGTTGCAATGACGTGTCAACCAAGTCAGCGAGCCTGACAACCCGATCCCGTTAGTCGCCTCTTACAACTAGCATGGGTTGCTGAAGATCAGTTGTAACCCAGACCTTGATTTGGCCATCATGCCACTGCTGACTTCAACATGATCCAGTTTTTAGAGTTTTAACGCCATAATAACGCCAACAAACCTACATATAATCCCAGTGAACCAGGATTTAAATCATGGCTTTCCGTGACACAACTCTGCACAGCTAATTGTCTCCCCTTAGATTAGTGGGCACCCCACAGAAGAACACCACATAACAGTTGTTCTTCAACACTTCATCAAGAAGGGCTATGTTTGTCTAGAATTGTTTATGTTAATGTCAAATAGGTGCGTTATAGGAATATCAGGTACGTACGTAATGCTGAAAGACAAAATGTACACATTTACAAGACAAAATACATAATTTGGTAAACTTTAGCATATGAAAGTACCATTATATATAGTGTTTTGTGAGATATGAATATTAAAATGATATAATTCCATATACTTCATCTAAATACAAGAGAATTGGTAAAAACAGACAGGAAATATATTGTCAATACCACAATCAAAGGGTAAGATCAACACCATTAAACCTAAACAAACTTTGTTAGTGGTACAAGTGAATATATTATAGCCATTTACTTTGGATACAATTGCCACTAAGGACATAACTGGTTAAAAACGAATATTCTTCTAAAAATATTTTTCAAGCACAATGGTGAAAATGTAGCACACAAGCGATGTGAATAGTAAATCCTCTCTCTAAAACTGGACAGTGCAAACTGACAATATATTGCACATTAAGTTTATAGATTTTGGTTGTCTGAATAACTGTGGAAAAAATGTACAAAATCTTTACAAAGAAACCCTTTAGATGTCAGAATATGGAACTGCTTATAAGATTACGTGTTGTTAACAGGGTTGAAGTTAGTTGCCATGGTAACTAATGCATCTGACTGCTTACCATTCAACAAAGATCAATTTTGATTGGACAAACAGATTTCAGTGTCATTAATCTGATTGGTCAATCCTTTTGTTACTAAGCACTGGCTAAATGTTATGGTATCACAAATGGACAAGCTATACACAATGACTGTTATCCATACCACTAATTTTTTTTAACTTTGTATAGGGGTTCGGTAGAGAGGGGTGGGGTGATTAGTTATATGGGAAAAACACATGGTGCATATCTTCATTCTTTCGAAAAAGGGGGTGCACAGATCTTTTTTTAAATCAGGAAGAGTGAAGGGTAATTGAATTGAATATAAAAATTCAAGGGACATAGTCAAAAGCTTTAAACAAATTAGAAAAATAATTTTCATTTTGGTTGGAAAAAAAATGTCTCCAATAATTGTCATACATTTAATAGATCGACATAATTAGGATCTTTGAAACTGGGTGCTCTGAATCTGTGTATTAGAGATATGTTACAATCTAAAATATTTTATCACCTTTTAAGGATCTCCTCTTGTTTAAAGCTACTTCATTTTGTGACTTCAGATTTGCTAACTACAGTATTAAAAATATTGCACATAAAATTAAACTCACAACCATCACAAGAAGCATATAAGGGTATATCAATTATTACATAGCTAAGGATACTGTAGGATCTATAGCTAAATTAAGTAAGTACACGTACACACAAAGACAAGTCTCAACTGAAAAATGCAAGACCTCTGTTTAACACGCAGTACTCTTGAAGGCCAAAGAGAATCCGACTTCTGGCACAATAGCTAGGGTACATCAAGACAAAAAACCCGAATGACAACTGTCCTCAAAGATGGAACAGTCTTTAGGCCCAAATAAGCCAATGATTAAATTTTCATCCAATTTTTTAAAAATGACAACCATTTGATTTTAATAAAACAAACTCTAAGGCATTAAATGTTGATGACTGCTTTTCCCAAATATGGACAAGTATATGGTGTATCCAGTGTCAAAAAAGGATGAAAAAGAAACAAGTGATCATAGATTTTTTGTAATTATTTTTGGAGTCCTAAAAATTGAAATGAGGTGCAGTATTTAGTAACTGGGATGAAAATCTAAACATTAATTTATTAGTTAAAATACATGTCTAGTTAAAAGGAATCATGTACACAAACACAAACAAGTTTGTTGTAAGATGGGATGGGGTTACAACTGGGATATGTCAGTTAAGTGAGATCAGCTGCAGGTGCAATATTTTGAACCTGTTTATTATCAGTATTATTATTATTTATATCTACCGATGTAAAACACTACAATGTCTTATCAACTTAAATCAATTATTTAATTTAATACATTGACTCCCAAAAGAAGTTGTTAACCATAGAGTTTGTCTATATTGTACTTCCCAACTTCTAAAATGCCACTCAAAGAACTTAAGAAATCTAAAGTATAGGAGTGAGTGAGTGAGTGAACGGGGTGCCATTCCACAAACCGATCTTTTCTAAGGTCATTCTTTACAAGTTACGCCAATTTTACAATCGTCTTAGCTAAAAGTTACGTTCCACTAACCTATTGATTGAGACTCTTTTGTGCGAGAGATAGAAAAATGTGAGGCCCGAGTTATCTCCCTTTGCAAAGTAAAGCAGACGATGGAAGTAGTTTTGGAACCAAGCTTTGAGTATCTAGCATAATATGTGGCTGAACAATGTCGATCAGCATAAACAAGGTGTGACGAGGCATCCTGTACCTCGCCACAAACACATCATCTGATCTGAGTAGAATCTGAGAGCGGTCTCAAAAACACGCTCACAGTGTAATGCTCGCTCTTCTTCACATAGAACAATGAAAGCCCCAGTTTGGTTTCCCTACGATTGATTTTAGCGATCCTAAGTTGGTCATGAGTAACTTAGACTTTGGATCTTAACTTTATGATTGACTTGGGTAAGATCGGTTAGTGGAACGGTATGCCGCTCATAACGTCACGCTAAGAGTGGGATTTTAGGGGTTTACAATTGGCGTAGAGCTAAGATTGGTTAGTTGAATGGCACCCTGATGTTTATCACATATTTACAATGTACAGATTTATCGGGCAAACAATCCTAGAAACATAACTGGCGGGAATGGGATTCAAACCCAGATACAGCCAAGGGACACAACTCAAGGGATGCTGTGAACACTGGGCCACATAAGCAACAGTGACTGAGGGCGTTACATGATTGCACGTCGGTTTGAAAACCTGAAGTGATTCAGTTCCCAGATGTGAACGATGTCAAAGAAGCTCAGAAGTAGTAAAAAGAATAACTGTGACTTAGGGCTACACATGGTACAAATACTGACTTTCAACACACAGGAGATTATAATCCGTAAAGGCAATAATGATCAGTTTGTAGGTAAATAGTTTCCAATAACAATGCTGAGCCACCTCTCATAATTATCATGCGTAAACAATTTGATATATATCATTATCAGACATGATGAAAGAGTGAGCGAGTGAGTGAGTTTAGTTTTACGCCTCTTTTAGCAATATTCCAGCAATATCACGTGGGTGGACACCAGAAGTGGGTTTCACAAACTGTACCCATGTGGGGAATCGAACCCGGGTCTTTGGTGTGACGAGTGAATGCCTTAACCGCAACTCTATGCCAAAGAAACATTTGGTGATTTTGTACAATCACCACTAATACCAAGATAAAAAGAAGAGAAATTCAGCAGAAGCTACAATCCAAACATTTAACAAGTGTTCTTTATAAACACAGAATTGATAAACTGCACAATATCTGGTTAAAAGTAGGGATTATGAGTCTAAAGATTAATTGGCTTTCGACAAATTATTTATGTTTAATGTTCATTGTTTCCTGAACTCAATATTATAGCTATATGAAGGTTATAGTTCCACGAGTCAGGACTTAAATTAGTTTAAAAGACTGAACATACATTGTGTACATCAATAACGTGTAATTGTTAAATCACACAATCAATCAAATTATAAGGATAAACTTCATGATAAATGCATATGAAGCAATTGTTATATTTACAATCATAGAGAATGGATTTCAGGTTTTAAGGAAATGTTGACGCATAAATAATTGGAACTGTATTTCCAGTCAAATTATGCATACAAAAAAAAAATTACATTATGATCCCATAGAAGAGTGAACTTCTAATCTGGATGTGATAACCAAATGCATTCCCAAACAGGTGATTCACTGGCGGAAAAAGCAAGATTAACAAAGGGCAGGTAACTCTGATCTCAATTATCTCCCTTTAGTTGAATTACAAAGAAATGCTTTTCTGACACAGATGATTGATTTCTCTTCAGCTTACATTACTGCCACCTGACATTCCAGATATTCATGTGTGTCCATGGGAATATCAGTGAATTGTGAAAAACCAATAATATTCCACACAGACATTTGTTCCCCAAGAATGCTTAAAGATTATCACCTATAGAAAAAGCATTATATTTCTCCCTTACATTTTCAACAGCATGAGCATCGATCTACGCATTGGGATACGATGACATGTGTCAACCAAGTCAGCAAGCCTGACCACCTGATCTTGTTAGTCGCCTCTTACGACAAGCAGGGTTGCTGAAGACCAATTCTAACCCTGATCTTCACCAGAATGGATCCCATAAACCCAACAAAAGTTGCCAAACAAAGTGGGTACAAAGTTCTCATCATAGTGGACATAACATTGAGTCAGGTGTGAATCAAGCTCCATGCATGATTGCGGGCAGCCTAGCACTGTAAGGAGTTGTGACAGGTGGCAGTGAGCTCTGCAAACCAAACATCACTGTTAGGAGCTTGTATGGAAATACATCTCGATAAAGAAAGAATCTGAATAAAAAATATTTTGTTGAAAACACTGGCCTATTGCAGTTATTCTATTTAGATTTTTCTGGTGTTAAAATATATGTAAGCATTTGGTAGCATTCAACTAAGTACTTTCAAGACATTTTTGGTGTTTGTCATTCGCAATGACAGGTCTCGCAAAGCAATTGAAAAATAGTATCGCCCTGAGATTGGCTTTATCTTGTGTGATCTGTGACCATGCAAATGCAATTTAGGTCATGTCATAGGTTTAAACAGACAGAATTCTGCAAATCCATGGATTTTAAACAATCCACAGATATATTCCTCACCATGACATGGCTAGGAATTCAGTGCACCATTAGGACAATATCAGACTGGTGATTATCTATGAAGCAAAAATAGCTTTAAGGTAAATAGTACTTCCTTCTATCAGATCTTCTTCCTGAACTGAGGATTTTGGCAATATCACTGGAAATATCACATCATCCAATATACATCCAAATTATGAATCATATCAACTGAAAGTCAATCACGAGAGCAGCCAGCAGAAGAAACGTGTAATGGTTGATATCCAGGTTTCAGTTGACTGTGCTGTCATTGGCTGAAGGGGACTGGGTCGAACACTGATTGGCTGAAGAGTCTTCACAGGGTGTTTGCTGTGTGTTCTGATTGGTTGGAGCAGCACTGGCTTCAGCCAATGGTGGGGCTGAATTACTGACTGGTTCAGCCACTTCACTGTATGGGGGAGGCTTGGGCATATTGTTGGTGCCGGCTGCGAGATCCTGAGCATTTAAGGCCATCGGTGGTGTGGGGCTACCTGTGAGCAGAAGAAAATGGACCCTGCATCAAATTGCTGAAAAGCATGTGCAAATATCATGCATGTGATCAGCTGTGTTTTGGTGTAAAGTTTTGATAAGGATTCACCATTTCCACAGAGTTTCATCATTTACTGAACTCATGACAATTATCTTTTCAACGTTACAAATTTGTTTTACAATACCTCAGTTTATGTGAAAAAGGTATCTTTAAACAGTATGGAATATTTTGCAAAATCTAGTTTAGAACAGTTGACTGAAGTAAGTGGTTACATTTACACTGGTGAGAATTTTGATGGGTAGTATATTATAGTGATATTATAGTTTTACGCCGCACTCAGCTATATTCCAGCTATATGGCAGCGGTCTGTAAGTAATCGAGTCTGGATCAGACAATCCAGTGACCAACAGCATGAGCATCAATCTGCGCAATTGGGAACCGATGACATGTGTCAACCAAGTCAGCAAGTCTGACCACCTGATCCCGTTAGTCGCCTCTTATGACAAGCATGGGTTACTGAAGATCAACATGCTAACCTGGATCTTCACAGGTAGGGAGTTTATCAAACCAGTGAGGTCAGTCTTGCAATTGAACATATAGTTCATATTGCAGTCAGTGAGAGCTGATTCTAATCATGTGACACACTATCTAAATTGTGGGTAATATAGCTGGTTGATAACTTAGTGTCAGGAGACAAAGGAAGAGGAAGTGAAAAAGAATTGTGGGGAAAAAGAGAATTGTGGGTCATGGCTTGGTGTGTTGCAGCTGTATGGCAGCGGTCTTTAAATAATTGAGTCTGGATCAGACAATCCAGTGATCAACAACATGAGCATCGGTCTACGCAAATGGGATACAATGATATGTGTCAACCAAGCCAGCAAGCATGACCACCCGATCCTGTTAGTCGCCTCTTATGACAAGCATGGGTTACTGAAGATCAATTCTAACCCAGATCTTCACGGATCTTAAAGTGCAAGATACTTTGCAACAGAATACCATATACACCCCATTCAGACATGACAGAGACTCAGAGGTAACAAGCATGAATCATCTTTTGATATTTACACAACTTTTGGAATGAGGTTGACAAAGCTGTGGTTTTGACAAAGAATGAGGCAGGAATGTCCAATAGTTGAACCACTGACAGTGACCACAGACCCATTCTCCATTGCACCAAAGCTGTGGTCTTAACATTGTGGTCTTAACATTACTGTCCAATAGTTGACAAAGCTGTGTCTTAACATTACTGTCCAATAGTTGACAAAGCTGTGTCTTAACATTACTGTCCAATAGTTGACAAAGCTGTGTCTTAACATTACTGTCCAGGTGTCCAATAGTGACAAAGCTGTGGTCTTAACATTATAGTTGACAAAGCTGTGGTCTTAACATTACTGTCCAATTGTTGACAAAGCTGTGGTCTTAACATTACTGTCCAATAGTTGACAAAGCTGTGTCTTAACATTACTGTCCAATTGTTGACAAAGCTGTGTCTTAACATTACTGTCCAATAGTTGACAAAGCTGTGTCTTAACATTACTGTCCAATAGTTGACAAAGCTGTGTCTTAACATTACTGTCCAATAGTTGACAAAGCTGTGTCTTAACATTACTGTATAATTATTGAAAAATCTGTGGCACATAGCTGTGTCTTAACATACCTGCATAGTTGGCAGCTATGACTGAATATTGAGGTGGAAGGTCAGCTTTGGTTTCAGGATACATGCCTGGATGCGAGGACACCTGCACCAATACAAAACTTTCATCAATACCTGCACAAAGTATCATAGTAACTTCAGTGAGTGAACAGGTCTATATCCGAACAATTATGTACATGCTAGCTCCTGGATTAATGATTGGTTGGATGGTTGGTTTGTTGCTTAAAGCTGCACTCAGCAATATTTCAGCAATATTCCAGCAACATCATGGTGGTCTGTAAATAATTGTCTGGTGAGGTGAAATAGGGTTTGAGAATATTTCACTAATATGACGACATGCATGCATGTGTATGTGTACGTGCGGCTGCTTGTACTAGCCCAGACTGAAGCTGGTTTTATAGTGCTAGGCCACTGAGATACCATGCTGCAGTGAAGCATGAATACCCCACTCAGACACATTATACTGACTCCGAGCCGACCAGTCCTTGTTGTACCCATTAATGCCGAGAGCCAGGCAGGGACCAACAAGTGCCATATTTTTACGTCTTTTGGTATGACGCGGTCGGGATCGAACCTGCGACCTTCCACTCTCCAGGCGGATGCTCTAACCACTTGTCAGTTGTTTGGACAAGACAATCCAGTGATCACCATCATCAGCATCAATCTATACAATTGGGATACAATGACATGTCAACCAAGTCAGTGAGTCTGAGCACCCCATCCTGTTAGTCGCCTTTTACAAGCATGGGTTACTGAAGACATGATTATTACCTGCATATATTAACTTTCAGACAAGTTATACAGACATATAAACCTGAAGGCTGCTTCTCACTATATATTAGACATGGCTTCTTTTCCCGCATTTGAGGTTTTTGTTTGCTCCCAGGTTTTACTTTTCGTAAGTAAGACCTATTTCCCGGTTTTACTTTTTGTAAGTAAGACCTCTTCCCAGGTTTTACTTTTTCCTAACTCTATATTAACATCAACATTCAAATTCAGATGATATGTTAGTGTTTGAAATCAATTGCAAAATATCGTCAAAGATCAACTTAAATGTGCAAATGTTTTCCCTAGCAGGATTGGAACCGTATATACAGATTCATAAGCGGAAGCTCTACCTCACAGCCACCGGGCCGACAAAGAACAACGGTTGAATTATCTATTTATAGTCCTACTGTCATTCAATTGATTTTACTAGTGCTTCAGTTACTGTGATGTAGCTTCATTACATGATCATCTAATTATCCATCATTGACGGTTTATATGTATAATAAAGCACTCCTCCTCGGTTATGGTTGGGAAAGTAAGACCCGAGAGTTGTTATTAAAGCTTAATCAAGCATAGTGATTTTGTTGTGTTTTGCTCTATAAATCAAGCATTAACCCGATTATAAGTAGTTTTTTGTGTAAAAATACTTCATGCAATATATTGCAATACATATGGCAATACATGCTTTCGTATCGCAATATATCGCAATATGGAAATTCTCTGCAATACGCCCCCCTAATAGCCATCAATTTAATCAACCTATAGTTAAAGAAGCTTTACCCATTGACAAATACCATAACCTTTTCTATTCTTTATGAAAGAAGATGTTGATGAAAATGTGATGGAAATGAAATTTTACCCAATATAACTATTCCTCTCCTGCTTAAACTAAACAATTAAATTAAGTTTTGACTAAAAATAGCAATTCTGTTATTTACCAAGATGACATTTACACATCAATTAAGCTTTAATTAAGCATAATCAGGAAGAACCCGATTGTCAAAGATTCAGACTTTCTTCCAACAATTCAGATTGCTAACTGACAAAAAATGATAAAGGTCACATTAATAAGATTTTGGAATAAATCTTTTATGATTTTGAGTTTATTGTATTGAATAAAAACTTCTCCTTGCCGAATACTGATAATTTCAGCTAAATCTGTTTGTTTTGTTTGTAAGCAACTTTTACTGCATTTTAAAGTTTTACTTTTTTTTAGTTTGACTGTAACTTTTCCTAAATCTTAGTTTAGTTTTCATCCATTCACTATGAATAACGAATTTATAGGCCACATAACAATCAATTATTACTTTCACTTTTCAAAGTAAGGTAACCTTTTTTAGGACAGAAAAACACCTGTTTTAAATATAGGCAATTAACCTAATTAAAGTACATGGTAATTTCAATGATGTTTTTGCTTTTGAAATGTTAAATGTTTGCTCTATCAAATTCTAAAGGTTATTTTTTGGAAAGAGTTTAGAATTTAATTTCAGACAAAATTAATTGGTAAAAACACAGGGTGGTGCTTATTTTATGCACAAATATATATTTGTTGGATGCTAGTAGACATGATGAGAAAATTCTGAATCTGGTGATGTTCCATGGCATGTGAAAACTTGCCATATTTTACCCCACATACTATTGCATGAAAGTTCAAAAAACATGTAAACTTTGTCATTATCTGTGGTCCAAATAAACTTTGTTTAGTTGTTTGAGGTACTGACATATCATAAGTGAGTCAAATCTCGCACTTGAACAATGATTAAGTTTTAACAGTAGTGCTGGAGTGATTCATTAAGTATTCGGTCAATTGATCAATCTTCGATTGTCAGGATCTCGGTATTTAATAAAACTTACGTCACTTCGCTACACGATAACTGTATTAACATAAATGCCCTTCTTGTCAAGGCGGCTCTCAACTCAGCAATACAACATAACAGTGGTATACAGCTTCTAATTAGTCACGTTGAGCATGGTAATTAACGATTACATTTCAATTACAAAAATGGCACACCTAAATCAGAGTTATCTCCCTTAGACTTGTGACGGAACACCTGGCAAGAATTAAAACAAATAGTGACCTGGAGTTACAAATCTCCCTAGACTAGTGAGACTAGTGAGAGTTATCTCCCCTAGACGAACACCTGGCAAGAATTAAAACAAATGAGAGTTATCTCCCCTAGACTAGTGACGAACACCTGGCAAGAATTAAAACAAATCAGAGTTATCTCCCCTTGACTAGTGACAGAACACCTGGCAAGAATTAAAACAAATGAGAGTTATCTCCCCTAGACTTGTGATGGAACACCTGGCAAGAATTAAAACAAATGAGAGTTATCTCCCCTAGACTTGTGATGGAGCACCTGGCAAGAATTAAAACAAATGAGAGTTATCTCCCCTAGACTTGTGACTACAGATAATCGATGCCTGTTTCGTTTGCACAACATGTCCCATTGTTGCCCACGAGTGAGGTGGGGTTTACGATTACAATTGATTATCAGTCTGCATATTATGAGTGACAACTAGAAAACAGTATTGTCTAAGGGAGGCAACTCTGCCCAATAAATATGGCAGAGTACCATAAAATATGCAGGGGCTGACCTCTGAGTAGGGCGGAGGTAGAAACGAGATCTCTGGTGGTTCGGATGCAGCTGGGCCGACATAGGCCAAGTATGACTGAGAGGTTCTATTGCCGCTGCTGCTGCGTATGTGATTGGTCCGTCTTGTGGTAATCGGTGCTCGCTGGCGCTGCTGGTGAAGTGTTGCCATGCGACGACGGCGGTAGTAGCCGCACCCACCAAAACAGGACATCATGATGAAGATGATGACAAACCTGTATCAACAATGAAAATATACACAGAAAATGGCAGTGTGGCTCTCAGGGCTATGTCGTCAACAGTTAAGTGAGTGAGGTTTTACAATAGTTTGAAGCTGAGTTTAGCTCTACTCCAGTACCATACCAGCAAGGAACACCAAAAATGGGTTTCAAATATGGTACACTTGTAGAAAATCAAACCCAGGTCTGTTCCTTAACCACAAAGCTACTTCAGGTGCCCTAAAAACAAGAATTAGCATCTGAAGTTTTAGCTTCTCTGGCCTGGTGGTTTATGAGGGTAACCACCAAGAAATGTATTGTGTTGTTCTTTAACAATAGCAATATTCCACAGGGGGTTAAAAAATCCCATTGCCCGACGCCCGGGACAAGTCATTTTTCATTTCGGGCAATCAAATAATGGTATCTTACTTGTCCGTGGGCTACTAGATAATTTCCACTTATGGTTTCAAACTGCAAATAAACTTTGATTTAATTTCATATCTGCTCAAAATGTAGCTATTAAATTTCGCAATGATAATAAAGTAGAGTTATCTTTCTTTGCTAATTATCACTTTTCAATAAATAGTCCAGTAAACATTAACATCAAATACCATGTTGATTTCTTCTTTCATAATTACATCATCATAATTATGTCATAAAATCAGGGCAAGTGGATAATTAGTCAGGACAAGTTACTTTCTTAAAGTCACTTGCCCTGTGGCAAGTGGCTTTTTAAAAAATATTTGAAGCCCTGTTCCAGCTATATGGCGGCAGTCTGCATTGGGTTTTTTTCATTTCATTTTCAGATTTCATATAACACATGTGTAAAAAGTAATACGCCCAATTAAGAATGTCTAAAATTCCTTATTTAATATATGGTTGATTGGTTGGTTTGTTGTTCAACGCTGCACTCAGCAATATTCTGTAAATAATCGAATCTGGACCAGAAAATCGAGTGATCAACATCATGAGCATGGATCTACACAGCTGGGTTACAATGACATGTGTCAACCAAGTCAGTGAGTCTGACCATCCGATCCCGTTAGTCGCCTGTGACAAGCATGGGTTACTGAAGACAATTCTAACCCGGATCTTCACGGTCAAATGTATTGTGAATTTGTGAGCATCATCAAGTGAGTTGGGTTTTACACCACATTTAGCAATCAAGTGAGTTTTACACAATTTTAAGTGAGTGAGTGAGTGAGTGAGTGAGTGAGAATGGTTTTATGCAGCTTTTAGCAATATTCCAGCAATATCACGGCACAAGACACCAATAATGGGCTTCACACATTGTACCCATGTGGGGAATCGAACCCTGGTCTTCGGCGTGATGAGCAAACACATTAACCACTGGGCTACCCCACCTAGTATCAACAATATCATGGCAGGGGACACCAGGGACAATCCAGTGACTGACATCATGCAGATCACATTTCCAGCACATCCTCACGGGTACCCATTTTACAGCTGGGTGAACTGAGACATTGAGGATTTAAGTATCTTGTCCAAGGATACTATGCAAATGTGCCCACGGGGCCTGAACCTAGGTGTCTCCACCGGGGATCGAACCCGGACCTTCAGCGTGATAGGTAGAAGCCTTACCACTGCATTATTGCGCTCCACAGTAATTGGAACATTGTGATAAATTGAAACATTACTCTATGCAAAAACAAGAAGTTGTCATCTATAAAGTTGTATGCTTCACTTTTGGTGTGAGTGAGTTTAGTTTTACACGCACTCAGCAATATTACTATGTGGCCGCGGTCTGTAAATAATCGAGTCTAGACCAGACAATCAAGTGATCAACAGCAGGAGCATCGATATGCGCAACTGGGAACCGATGACATGTGTCTGACCACCCCATCCCGTTAGTCGCCTCTTACGACAAGCATGGGTTACTGAAGATCAATTCCAACCCGGATCTTCACTGGTCGCTTCATTTTTGGTGTCACTGTTGTACTGAGCTTCCATTTTGTCATCCTGGTTGTTTATCTCTTAACTTGACCCGGATACAAATGTCATAAACACAGCACACACAAAAACAAGAATTATTACATGAAAATTCTCTTCGTATTTCTTCACCACCTATCAAACATGGCACTTTGTGATACAAAAGCTGTTATTCTAGTTGTACGCTGTGCTACTACCAAACAGGATGTTCCCATGGGGAAATTCGTATATTAAGAAGCCAAAATTGTCATTTTAAGACTATTCAATATGTCTATCTAAAATGTTAAAATTGTCTTTTCTTACCAGAAATACCACATGTTCCAGATATGGAGTTTGTATGACCTGCGGAAATTGTCCTGGGCATCGCGGTCGTAGCAGCAGGACTTGACATTGGAACAGCAAGTGTAGGGCGAGAAACAGCTGAAAGAGGTTACAGTGAGTGAGAATGGTTTTACAACGCCTTTTTACCAATATTCCAGCAATATCACAGCGGGAACACCAGAAATGGGATTCACACATAGTACCCATGTGGGAATCAAACCCGGCCTTTGGCATGACAAGAGGACGCTTTAACCACTAGGCTACCCCACCACCCCTGAAAGAGATGACAAAGTGTGGAAGATTTGCAGAAGGTTTTGTCAATTTGTGTTTGTTTGTTGTTTAACATTGCACACAGCAATATTTTCCAGCAATATGGTGGTGGCAGATAAGCAACAGTCAGATCATAATCAGATCGAATCCTTGTGCCCATCCTGGCATGACAGAAGAATCATAACAACTCTGCACCTGTGGATCCTTATTGACTACACTATTTGTCTGAAGTCAGCAGGTGACACGTTTGTTACAGTCACAGTAAATATCGCTAGTGCCAGATGCCATTAGAAAAATCTAGAAATTTGCAATTTGTGAGTGAGTGAATTTAGTTTTACGCCGCACTCTGCAATATTCCAGCTAAATGGCGGTGGTCTGTAAATAATCGGGTGTGGACCAGACAATCCAGTGATCAACAGCATGAACATGGATCTACGCGAATTGAGATACGATGACATGTGTCAACACAATCAGCGAGTCTGACCACCCGATCCAGTTAGTTGCCTTTTATAAGCATGGGTTACTGAAGATCATTTCAACCCGGATCTTCTCGGTTAAATCCTGAATGGGGTGACATCTATATTTTTGTGTATGAATATATAATTCATCTTTGGATAGAGTACTATGCTAACAACAGTCATCACAATGGATTCAAAGTGTCGTATGATTCTTGTTAAGAGTTGTTTCGTCAAAGTTACAGCGTTCAGTCTACTCCAACTTTCAAAATGTTTTATGCTAGAACTATGGCAGACGTCTCTATGATCCATCAGTGACAGAATAATATATCTAATTCATATATTTATGACTTATATCTTATGTCCCTTTATCAAGTGAATAGTTGACTTGCCTGTGCATGTGTTTATGATGGATGCCAGTGGAGCAGGATACGCTTACTTTTTAACAACTTGGTTTTAAATGATGGTTTCATAGTGATTCATAAACACATACTTATGATATAATCAGAACTATACAACGGACTCTTTTCAGAAAACATTACGGAAACAATTTCATTGCTGATGAATATATATGAATACCACACATTATATATATAAGCTCCAATGAATATTCATTAACAAATAACATGAATATTATACTTACTGGATTCCATTCCCACAGTCTTCAGCTAAAGCCTGCAACAAAAACGGAAATAAATCAAGAAAAAAAAACAGATAAAAGGATAAAATGTTGAATTTAAAGACAAACTGATAGATCTACGAATACAATGAAAACACCGTAAAACTTATTTCCTCTTCACATAAGATAATGGCCCCAGAGTTTCAACACTTACATGGACAAACGGAAACATTGTTCTGTTCAACAATGACAAGCTTGGATTGTTGCTAATAATCTTTTACCTGGATCCCAAAGAGTGATGACACGACAGTACAACGCCCATATCACTAAACACTAATCAGTCATCTTCTTTCTCACCGAGATCAATAAGTTACAGAGCCTCATCCCATTAAGGTAGTACTCCTAACAGCAGGTGAAAATGCAAACTGTAAATGATGAATACTTTTTGGTACTAACAAGTACCATTTGGTCAGAATGGGAGCTTGATGTAGCGCGAGGGAGAGGGCAATATTTCACCAATATCGGCAGGGTGAGTGAGTGAGTTAAGATTTTAAGTCACATCGTCAGCCATTTCGGGACTACAAACAAGTTCTAATTTTACAGGGGCGGTGGGGTAGCCTAGTGGTTAAAGCGTTTGCTCGTCACGCCGAAGGCCCGGGTTCGATTCCCCACATGGGTACAATTTCTGAAGCCCATTTCTGGTGTCCCCTGCCGTATTGCTGGAATATTGCTAAAAACGGTGTAACCCATACTCAGTCAGTCAGTCTAATTTTACAATAAATAAAGGTACATTATAAACAAATTGTCAGCAAAGGACAGTAAAACAACTAGTGTATCACAGATTTCAATTTACTAGTAATTAACTAAAACATTTTAACTATAGATAACAACACAATATAAAAACAGGTTATATATCGCCAACAACTGAAGGTAGATCACCATACTAGGGACCATGGGGACTTACAGTACTCTTGCTTCCTGCATGGACCCTAGCTGGATTTACACCATCCCTTCAGTCGTTAGCAATTAAGACAAATCTAGCCATACCATACATTAAAATAACATATATGCTACGATTAAAAACAATATCGGCAGGGACACCAGAAATGGGCTTTGCACATTGTACCCATGTGGGGAATTGAACCTGGGTCTTAGGTGTGATGGTCGGACACTTTAACCACTAGGCTACCCCGCTACCCAGTAGAGGGAAGAAAACTAGAAGTGATGCTGAAAATTCTGAGCTTATAAACTGCATTGCTGAAGTAGCTGATGATTTTTCAACACAATCCCATTTGAGGTCAATCACAACACGTGCCAGTATAAACCCCTCCCAGAACGTCTTGCATTGACCTGATACTACAAGGATGCCTGAAAAGTTATGTGTTTCTTATCACCTGCCCTGATTTTTCGTTCCATTGTAAAATAATAAAATTTTCACTTAATTAATTATTTTTCGCCCTCATGGGAATATATGTCTGAAAAAAGTTCTTGCACACTTAAAACAAAGACCAGGTCAGTTTCATCTTTGTTCAGGGTTGGTGGGGTAGCTTAGTGGTTAAAGTGTCCGCTTGTCACGCCAAGACCCAGGTTCAATTCCCCACATGGGTACAATGTGTGAAGAACATTTCTGGTGTCCCCCGTCATGATATTGCTGGAATATTGCTAAAAGTGGAGTAAAACCATCCTCACTAACTCATCTTTGTTCATATCCATACATACAAAAATGTTTCCAAAGCAACTATCTACGTACTATATAAATTAAATTACTATTTATCTACTTACTATATAAACTTCCAAATGATCTAAAACTTAAAATCCTGAAAAGTGAGAATATATTCAGTTAGTAGTTTTGCCCGTCTGCTCTCCTGCTGGTAGAGGTATGGGATGAAAAACAAACAAAATATGGATGGCTAAACTATGGTAGACTGCACTGATGAAGTTACTAGTTTATTATTTTGTTAATAACATTTTCCTCTGATGTTCTAAGCCTAAGAATAATGGATTGTAATAATGAAGTCATTTGCTAAGCATTTCTTTAATAAGATTTCCCTTTGTTCCAAACCATTATGCACTGCATCCATGGTAACAACAAACCTTTGCCCTGGAGCAAGTCACCTTTAGCGTTGATATTGTTATGACAACCAAATCAGGAATTCAAGACCAGTTTGTAAGGTATTCAAAGGAATTATGGATATTGTTTTTCCCATTTCTTGGCACAGACAGAATGGGCGAGGAGTTTTAGCAATATTCAAGCAATATCACAGTGGGCAACACCAGAGTGTGCTTCAGATATTGTACCAAAGTGAGGCTCGAACTCATGTCCTCAGTGTGACAAGCAAACATTTTACCCACTCAGCTACCCTATCTACAAAGCTTTCCCTTGGGTGATTGAGTTTGTTTTACTCCGCTTTTAGCAACATTCCAGCAATATCACGGCAGGGGACACCAGAAATGGGCTTTACACATTGTACCCATGTGAGGAATCAAACCCAAGTCTTCAGAGTGACAAGCAGTCTCTTTAACCACTAGGCTACCCTGCCGTCCATTTCCCCTGGTATGTTGATAATAAGCACACACATGGTGGACAAATGAGAAGGACTCAAATAGAACTGATCGGAGAGGATGATTACGCCACACCCTTAATGGGCTCTGTTGTATATACAGACAAGTGACGTATATACTTGCCGACTTGTATCTATAATCTACTACACACGTGACTAAAAACATTGACATGTGTACTGTAACCGGATATCTGATATCAGCCCTCTCGGTAGGATATGTTCCTCCTAAACAAGATTCAGTAACCATGGTAACACAGCACCAAATACTGTTGACTGAAACTTATGATGGGTTTCTAGCCATGTAGTCACTTAGTCTTTGCTGCAGCTTGACATTTCAATCATTACCCATTAGGAAGCATTATACACAATACACATGCCTGATAGAGAACTGTTGTGATGCTTCAAACAGGGCTCCAGATAATTTTTCAACATCAGGAGTACGTACTCCTTATTTTGTTCAATATAGGAGTACTGGTAAAACTAAAGAGTACATTTAGAGTACTGAATGGAAATTAATGGAGTTTCAGTAATCTTGTGTTTCGTTTCATACATTGCTACTCTTGTGTAAACAGGTCAATAAACAATAAAACAATACTTTTTTTCAGATAAATACGTCTGTAAATGATTCTAAGATCATACACCATTGCTGTGGTGCGTATCTGCTTCGTTTTCAAAATTATTTCCCTGTATTGTGCATATTTTTTATCCGTACATATGCCATTACTGCACTTATCTGGAGCCCTGTTTAAATCAGAAACGTATTAGGAATACCATATTTCCTCTAATAAGCGTCTGGGGTAAAGCAGTTCACTAACAATTATGGCAATTACACCCAGTAAGCACAAAAGCGCTGGGCTGTTCATAAGTGCCGGGTCTGGAAGTCCGTTAAAAAAATAAGCTCCTGGGCCTAGATTTTCGAAGCTCTCTTAGCGCGCCAAGATAGTCGTAAGTGCCATACGTTAACATTAACTTACGACTATCTTAGCGTTAAGAGAGCTTCGAAAATCTAGGCCCTGGGCACATATTAGAGGAAATACGGTAGTTGTAATCTCTATGGTGTGTGCATAGAGCCAAGATTTCAAATCAGTTGAAGTTATGTTTGATGGTTTGTTGTCTGACGCTGCAATACTCGATATGTCAGTGGTTTGTAAATAATTGAGTCTGGGTAAGAAAATCCAGTGATCAACAGCATGAGCATGAACCTACGCAACTGGGATATGATGACATGTGTCAACGAAAGTCAGCGAGCCTGACCACCCGATTCTGTTGTTGCCTCTTGCAACTAAACTCACTAACTCACATAGCAACTATTGTGCAGATTTCTGTAAACAGCAGAATTTGCAGAATATGTGTATTGTCAAATTTGTATCGACAGATAATTTCTAAATCATTTGAAGTTGTTAATCAAGATGATCAAATGAGTTGATCGAAGACATGTTTCAAGTTTTTGATCATCATCAGATCGATCAAACTGGGCTCTAACAGTGAAGCAAATGCAACACTGAATCTGATTGGTCAATTGGAAGGACATAAAAGGGACGTAACTCATAATAACCACTGGTGGTTCTACAATCGAGGCACCCAGTTACAGCCTAGCTCCGCAAGAATGAAAAGTGGACTTTTACAGTCAGTTAGGGGCAGTGGGGTAGCTTAGTGGTTCAAAATGTTCGCTCGTCACACCCAAAAATGATTTGATTCCCCACATGGGTACAATGTGTGAAGCCCATCAATGGTGTCCCCTGCCATGATATTGCTGGAATCAGGGCTACAGATAAGGGGCTTACAGGCGTAATGTACACCTCAAAATCAATTAAGTATGACACAATATAAGATTTCAAGCGTATCGTGTATGCACATAAATACCTTCGTACGTCTAACATTTCATTTCCATGCGTATCGTGCAAATGGGAAAAAAATATTTCGGATAAATACTTGTCAAGAGTTTCTTTGCGGAACACGATTTGACACATAAGGAAACCCCGACATTAGGAATCACTTACGTTGCCATGCAATGATATGCGTCACTATTTTTCGAGTGGATAAAAACTACACTGTTCCTATTTATACCAAGTCGGACCTGACATTTCGCGCATCACACAGTCGCTCAGTTGTTTCTCACGCGTCTTCAAATACAAATACATGGTTGGAAATAGTGATTGATGAATTGTCCAGACAAACCACTTCAACTCACTCACACAAAAACATGTCAGTACTCCTTCAAAATTCTCAGTACACCTCCACTTGCAATATGATGTGTAAGTACACTCACACCCCCAAAAGTTATCTGGAGCCCTGCTGGAATATTGCTAAAAGCGGAGTTAAACTAAACTCACTCCCTTGCCTTAGTAGGACGCACATCATAATTATATCAGGACACCATCTCAGTCCCTTACACTCATGACAGAGGCTATTACTGTCAACAAAATATACAAGGTTTAAGAATGATGTTGGATGATAATAGAATCTCTGACGTTCGTTTGAGATCTGATATTTTC